TAATAAAAACACAACATCAACATTCAAATTTTATAACAGTCTATATACAATGTTCCTGATACAAGAAAAACAAACATCTTAACAATTTTGTCAATTAAGGAAGAATACAATTAATGAAAAGGAAAAAACTTCTAGAATATATAACCTAATATTTGCATAAGTCATATTTCTATATTTGGCATATGAAGATTATGAAATACACCAGTAAATGCAGACAATGTAAAATAATAATACAGATACAATGTAATCATCTAATTGCTTACAACTGATATATCTAGCTTTTTTGGCAAGTATACCACACACTGTTCAGAGACCCCTCTCCTATATACCAATCTTTTCCCCACATATTCAATCATGTACTCTATTTTCAAAGACAATAAAATGTGGGTAAATTAACATATCTAGTAGAGATTTTTGTTTCATTTTACTTTAGTGTTATCAAGTAATACACATATACATGTATCTCAGATTAAAGTAATATAATTATTACCAAGGATTTACTAAACAAGAGGGCCATGGTGGCCCTGAAATAATTCACCTGTATATAGGCCCCTGGGGCGGGGCCAATTTTAACCCCAGGGCACTTATTTGAACAAAATTGGTAGACATCTATAAGAAGATGTTTCATGCTAAATATCCAATCTCTAGCCCTTTGTTTTTTTTTAAAGGAGATTTTGTAAGTTTTTAATATACACATATATGGAAAACAAGATTGCATTTGTAAAAAATGTCATGCCACCACATCAATTCAACACAAAATAGTATTTTAGGAACATATTTTTTGTTTCTTTACAGATTGCCATAATTCATAGATCACTTACCTATCTAATTGTTATTATCAGATTAGTACTTTTTCAGACAAGAAGATTTTGAAGTTTATATGTTAAAGTGACTGAAAATCAATGATCCTAAAGGTGGGGCCAATTGATATTACGCCGCCTGTCAATCAAGCTGGCAGGGGTCTTACAGATAAGCCAATCGGCAATTATCAGTTTTACGCTAAGATGTCTGAGAAGTCCGCCATTTTCCTTAGACAAGCTATTTGTATAAGACAATGGTGCAGCAGTACTTTTATTGAAATTATTTTTTTTTTTTTGGTCAATTTAAAGCTATTAAAGCGGAATATCTGAGTTACAAAATATCCTGCCATATTGACAGATGGAGTCAGTACATTTTACATAAACAAAAATATCAGTAACTTTCTATGGGATATAAAGATAATAAGATATATAGCAGGTACGACAGTTAAAACTGGCTACACCACATTGCATTAAACAAGGAAAAATTTAAACAAATACTCTTCCCTTCCTTCATTACAATATTGTCTATTAAAAATCACATAATATATTATAAGGTCCCAGAATATCCAGATGATATGACATTTTTGTTCACTTACAACATAGTGTCAATAAAATGCTGCAGTAGAAAAAAGTGCTTGGAAATAAAATGAGAAAATATGCAATAAATATTTTAGGTATTATTATCCTAGCTAAATATTTCCATCAAAGCTCAATGAATTTAGATTAATATTAAGAATTTAAGATACAATTCAAAAACATCATATCTGATCACGGTTTTAATTTAAACCCGAGGTCTGGTATATGCGAATATTATTTTGAAGTGAATAATATTGCATTTTATCACAAAACTATCTAATGTACAAATATACATATAATTCATATATCATACAACAAAGTTATGCAAGGGCAATTTTCTCATTTAATTTTGACAATTTATGCACAAATGCATTACATATAAGTGATTTCGCACATAAAACCCCAAAAACATTTGTAAATGTTACTGTTTCATTGATTCGTAAGATTTATTTCATTAGTGAGTTTAAAATTTCTTAATGTTTGATATTTGCTGATTATTTATTATTTACAGATTAAATGTGTAGTTTTTTGTGTAACTTTTATGTAAACTGTATTTCTTGGACACATTTAGTATGTAAATGGTCAAAGGCATTTATGATGCCAATTTGCCAATAAATGCAAATGAATTGAAATGATATAATTTTACTATTATATGTTTCGTTACATCAATTTTAACTATCTTTGAATTTGTAAACTAAAATGATATTTTGTCAGTAACTTCTTCCTTGAAGTGAGCTCAGTAACATCAGCTAAGTAGTTCAGTTTCTAAAAGATGTTTTTGTAATTTGCTTGTAAGGGACAGTTCAGGTATTTAGTCATATATTTCTTCAGACCTTGCACCGCAGTTTTGTCTCTATATTGTCTCATAAATGTGCAGATTTGACAGATTGAAAAATTTAAATCGAGAGACCAACGCATTTTCCTCCAATTCTGACATTATTTAAGCATGTCTACAAAAAGTAAACCTACAAAACGTTAGTACTTTGTGTTTAGAAACATTTATAAAAGTAAATGACAAGTTGAACCTATTTTCTTGTTCGTCAAATGCGTTTGAAAAAATAAACAATGTTACAGTTACGGAATTGTAGAAAAATGCGTTGGTCTCTCGATACAAATTTTCAAACTGCCAAATCTGTATATTTATGAGGGAATATAGAGATAAATCTGCGGTGCAGGGTCTGAAGAAATATATGACTAGATACGGGATCCAGTTCCTTACAAGCAAAGCACAAGCACATCCTTTAGAAACTGAACTACATGTAGTATGGATCTGAATAAAATCACCTACCTGTCTTCCCCACAAATAATCCTCCATCTTGAAAATTCTATACTGTTACCAGGAAGCCCGATACTGTAACACGTTCCCTACGGTGGTAATGCAGGAATGCAGTTATTTGTTACTTTTTTAAATATCATGAAACATTGAACTATTCAAAAAAAAACATTAAAATTTCATATATACCAAATTATATATGGTAAATTCATTAGTCACTTAAGTCCCATGACAGTTTCGCATAAACGTCCGTAAGTCTTTTGCCTAAGGTTCTGAATGACCGGGTCACTTGAATCAGCGGGCATAGCAATCTCTTCTCTGGCGTAATGTCAATTTTGACCCTAGCCTTTGTCAATTCAGAAAAGAAGATTTTTCAAGTTTTATGTAATTTTTTTGTGAGTAATGCTTCCGAGGGATCACTTTGTTTCCAGAATTTTTTACTTTATATATATATATATATATATAAGGAAAACTATCGCCTCTGGGGCAGGGCAATTTTAACACTAGGGGCATAATAAAACAACTTTAGTAGAGGACCCATAGATGATATTATATACCAAATATCAAAGCTCTAAGCCTTGTACCTTCAGATAAGAAGATTTTTAATTTTTCACTATATGTACATTGTGAAAATCAATGATCCCTGGGGGTGGGGCCAATTTTGACCCCAGGGCTTTAATTTTAACAATCTTGCTAGAGGTTCACTACACAATGTTTAATGCAAAATGTCTAACCTCTAGCCTTTGTCAATTAGAGAAGATGATTTTTTAAAGTTTTTACTATATACATGTAAGGAAAACCTATGACCCCCGGGGCGGGCTAGTTTTGACACTAGAGGCAAAATTTGAACAACTTTGGTAGAGTACCTATAGATGATATCATTTAACAAATATTAAAGCTCTAAGCCTTGTACCTTCAGACAATAAGATTTTTGGATTTTTTACTATAAATATATTGAAAATCAATGACCCCCCGGGTGGGGGCAATTTTGACCCCAGGGCTATAATTTGAACAATCTTGCTAGAGGTTCACTACAAAATGTTTCAAGCAAAATATCTAACCTCTAGCATTTGTCAATTGCTAGAAGAATTTTTTCTAAAGTTTTTACTATAAGTTTTTACTATATACATATAAGGTAAATCAATGACCCCCGGGGCGGGGCCGATTTTGACCCCAGAGCTATAATTTGGACAATCTGGGCTGAAGTCTACCAGACAATGCCTTATGCAAAATATCTCAGCTCTAGGCCTTTTGAGTCTTTACAAGAAGGTATTTTAAGTTTTTACTATATGTACATATAGTGAAAATCAATGACCCCCGGGATGGGGTTGATTTTGACCCCAGGGCTCTAATTTGAACATTCTTGGTAAGGGTTAACCAGACAATGTCTTATGCAAAATATCTAAGCTCTAGGCCTTTTGGGTCTTTACAAAAAGGTATTTTAAGTTTTTACTATATGTACATATAATGAAAATCAATGACCCCCGGGGTTGGGCCGATTTTGACCCCAGGGCTATAATTTGAACAATATTGGTAGATGTCTACCAGACAATGCCTTATGCAAAATATCTAAGCTCTAGGCCTTTTGGGTCTTTACAAGAAGATTTTTTAAATTTATTCTTATAATTCCTTTTGGTTGCTATGGCAACCAGATTTTAGCATAGAATGAAATTGTTTGAACAACTTTGGAAGCCTTTCACCCAAGGATCAATCCTGCCAAGTTTGGTTGAAATTGGACAAGTGGTTTTTCACAAGAAGATTTTTTAAGTTATTATATATAATCTATATAACACACACACAAACACACACACAGATGAATCGATATATGCCACCGCATTGCAGATGCTGTGGTGGCATAAAAAAAATTAATTCAGATATGATCATAAAAGAAGATTAGTCAAAATATCATTAACAAGAGGGCCATGTTGGCCCTGAGTCTCTCACCAGAAACAACAGTTTTTCAGTGTTGGAATGTCAATATATTCTAATATTAAATTTGAGCATAGCATATGTTTAATCGATAATTTGAAGAAATGCCATGACCGGGGCATTTAAGCTTAAGCTTAAACGGGGCCAATCAAATTAATGTAAGCAAACTTGATAAAGGACTATAAGAATGCTACAAAGTTTGGTGATCATCTCTCAATTATTTCAGTAGGAAATGATGTTCGAAGGTTTTTTCTATTTTTAGCTTAAGTGGCCCCTAAAAGGGGCTAATCAAATTAATATAAGCAAACTTGAAAAAAAAGTACCCAAGAATGCTACAGAGAAAGTTTGGTGATCATCCATGAATTGCTTCTGAAGGAGAAGATGTTTAAAGGTTTATCTATTTTTAGCTTTAGCGGCCCCTAAAGGGGCCAATCAAATTAATGTGAGCAAACTCGAAAAAAGATTACCCAAAAATGCTACAGACAAAGTTTGGTGTTCATCCATTAATTAGTTCTGTAGAAGAAGATGTTTAAAGGTATTTCTACTTTTAGCTTTAGCGGCCCCTAAAAGGGGCCAATCAAATTCATATGAGCAAACTTGATAAAAGACTACCAAAGAATGCTACAGACAAAGTTTGGTGATCATCCATCAATTAGTTCTGAAGTAGAAGATGTTTAAAGGTTTTTCTATTTTTAGCTTAAGCGGTATTTAGGGGCCAATCAAATTAATATGAGCAATGCTGCAAACTTGATAACAGACTACCCAAGAATGCTAGAGACAAACTTTGTTGATCATCCATCAATTTGTTCTGTAGAAGAAGATGTTTAAAGGTTTTTCTTTTTTTAGCTTAAGCGGCCCCTGAATGGGGCCAATCAAATTAATATGAACAATGCTGCAAACTTGATAACAGACTACCCAAGAATGCTAGAGACAAACTTTGTTGATCATCCATCAATTTGTTCTGTAGAAGTAGACATTTAAAGGTATTTCTAATTTTAGCTTTTGCGGCCCCTTAAAGGGGCCAATCAAAATAATATTAGCAAACTTGATTAAAAACTACCCAAGAATGCTACAGACAAAGTTTGGTGATCATCCATTGATTAGTTCTCTAGAAATAGACATTTAACAGTATTTCTATTTTTAGCTTTAGTGGCCCCTAAAAGGGGCCAATCAAATTAATATGAGCAAACTTGATAAAACACTACCCGAGAATGCTACAGACAAAGTTTGGTGATCATCCATCAATTAGTACTGTAGGAGAAGATGTTTAAAGGTATTTCTATTTTTAGCCCCAGAGACCCCTAAAAGGGGCCAATCAAAATAATGTTAGCAAACTTGATAAAAGACTACCTAAGAATGCTACAGACAAAGCTTGGTGATCATCCATCAATTAGTTCTGTAGAAATAGACATTTAAAGGTTTTTCTATTTTTACCTTTAGTGGCCCCTAAAAGGGGCCAATCAAATTCATATGAGCAAATTGAAAGACTACCCAAGAATGCTACAGGCAAAGTATGAGGATCATCCATCCATTAGTTCTGAAGAAGAAGATGTTTAAAGGTTTTTCTTTTTTTAGCCCTAGAGACCCCTAAAAGGGGCCAATCAAATTCATATGAACAAACTTGATAAAAAACTACCCAAGAATGCTACAGACAAAGTTTGGTGATCATCCATCAATTAGTTCTGTAGAAGAAGATGTTTAAAGGTTTTTCTATTTTTAGCTTTAGTGGCCCCTAAAATGGGCCAATTGGAATGACATGAGCAAATTGAAATGTGACTGTCACAAGGATGCTACAGAGCAAATTTGAAGTAAATCTGCTTAGTAGTTTCAGAGAAGAAGACGATTGTTGACGCATGACGACGGACGATGGACGCCGGAGCATCCCTCTTTGATACTAATAGCTCACCGAGCCTTTGGCTCTGGTGAGCTAACAACATTTCGGTAATAGGCTATGATAAAGACTTGAAATACCACCCTTTAGTGGACTAGTAATTTACTTAGTGTCTTATATCAACTAACATGTTATCTTATATATGTCATAAGATATGAGGGCATTCCTTTTTTAATTATCCTGAAATAATTGCAGTGAAATGCACTTCAGATCTCCTTTCTTGTCCAACGAGGAAAAGAATGCAATCCATGTTGGAATGAATGAATAATTGTGCCCGTTCATTTCAACACAAATCAACAGCTTTCTTAAAACATTTGTTGCTACACATGTAGCTTGTAACTTATAGCACCATGTAATATAAAAGTGAGTATTATTTCAACATCAAGGGTAGAGGAGGTGATATATAAAGCCATTGCTGTACCAGGGCATGTCATTCTCCGCGGCTAGTTTTCTAATGGGACTTCTGAATGGGTTGATGATTGGATCGGAAACGGTTCCTAGTCCAAGCCCTTCAACCGGGCTGCGAGCACATTCACAACTGTACTGACAGTAGTCAGTGAAATAAGCCGGGGTCTTCTGTGTCTGAAATAAAAATATCGAAAATTTTTATAAAAAGTAATGTGATGGCTAAATATACAATATCACAGAAATATGATTTCAGTGGAACCTGTCTAATCCAAACCTGTCCGAACCAGAAAAAAAAAATCGGATTACAAAAGTTTCCAGATTAGAATTTTTTTTTGCACATTTGTACATGTAAAGAGCATAATAGTTTAAAGAATGAAAAAATAAATGCTAAAGAAAATGCAACATAAATAATTAAATCTTATAAACTCCTATCGTTCATTAACATGTACATTGTAAGTTAGAGTATTTCAATTGTGTTAGTAATAATTAATATCTGACACTGATGAGTCTTTAATCTACAATCCCATTTATTTGTAGAATGTAATTTCTGTCTATAAACATAGTTTCACTACTGAAACTATCATTTAATTGATTGATTTCATACAAAGAATGTAACAAACTATGACAATATTTAATGTCATCAGAGCAACTGATATAGATCTATATGTTAATTATAAAGCATGAGGTATATTATGGTATCATCCTAATCAGCCTTACATTTAATATTGTCAGCAATCACTGAGTGACTTATTCTGATTTCATTACACTTGACCTTACTCAATTAAAACTATTAAACGATTCAGAAACAAGATGAAGCATCTAGTAAACCTTTTATTTAACATTTACTGAAGTAAAAGAATGAAGTTCATGTATTAAAATTAACAAGCAATTATCATAGTATTGCAAGCAATCCATAAGTCCCCTACCGGTTAGAACCCCATCAACATTCTGAAGGGCCATTGGCCATTCACTAATGTTTCAATTTTTCTCTATTTTAAGTAAATTTGTTGGAAAAGTTCTTAAAAGTGATCACAGGAAACAGTTTTTATGAACAGACAGACAGACGGACTGAAGGACACTCTAAAAGTTAATATTTGAAGCATCCCTGTTACCAAAATATAACATTTTAAAAGCAAAATTCTTAAAGAGGAGATAACTCTTGAATTAAAGATGCAATTTCATAAAAAATTTCAGCTCTTTTTGACTAATCACAAATATTGTTATATGTGCCATGTTTTAAGCCTATTTGTTGCCAAGGCAACCAGAATTTTCAACATAGGAAGAAAAGAAAAAGACGTGCATAATCTCCATACTGCCATCTATCCATATACCAAGTTTCATAAAAATATTTTCAGTACTTTTCAAGTTATCGCGGGATCCAGTTTTGTGGACGGACGGACTGACAGACGGACGGACAGACGGACGGAAGTTCTTACATTTGTATTCTTGTTGGGTATTTTACTGTGTAAAAAAGGTACCCAACAATCAAAGAAAATACCCAACAATACATACGGAGTGAGTAGGATTGGTAGTTGTTGGGTATTCAGTACCCAACATATACCCTCTCGTTAGTGCGGACGGACAGATGGACGGACGGAGGGTAAACCTAAAGTCCCCTCCAGTAAACAGGTAGGGGACTAAAACCGGTAGGGGACTAATAATCATATGTTAATAATCAAGACTGTGATCACTTGAAATTTGTTTACCGTAACATTCAGTCCCCACTTATAGCCATGCTGATGAATCAAAAGATTTATGCTAATTTATGGTTTTATCTTTCAATATCTGAATAATAAATATACACTATTTTCCAGGCAAATATTTGCCCATTCCAACATTACATATCTTTTCATTATAACTGTTTTACTTTTCCAGTTATGCTTAAAGAATCTTTTCAATGCAGCAATATTTTTGATGAAAATATGTGGTAACATTATGTCACATTTCTGCAAGCATATCGGGAGCTACATTGGAACAATATGTGATATCATGGTCAACCACCCTGAATGATATCTTACAATAATTTTATGAACTACACATACCCTTAATTTCACTAAAGTTTGTGACCAATACTGATAAGCTCCTAGACCTGCATTGAACCCTGAAATATACAAATAAAGATTGTATTAATAACATGCTCACATTAATAGCCTTTGTTGTTTTTTGGTTAAGAATAGTTTGGCTTTCATAATGGTTGAATCAACATATTTGCTTGTTTGGTTTAACGGTGCACCAACACAGTTTCGGTCATATGGAGCTAAAACATAGGCTGGAACAGAGGGGAAATGTGTGTGTTTTTATTTATCCCGTGCACACCAGATACTATGTCGTAGGCACAAGTTAATAATTAATCTTGTGCACACGACTTAGTAGCTCGTGGCCAAGACATAGTATCTTAATTATCTTGTGCGCATGACTGAAAAACATGTGGCCATGTCATAGTATCTCATGCGCAAAAGATTATTAAAACACACACGTCACCTATGTGCCACTGTAGAAACAACAATAACCACGGGTGATACAAACTTTAAGCAACACAAGGGGTCAAATTCTCCTCACCTGCTAGAGATAAGAGATGCAGACTCCAATAGTTCAAACCCATTTAGCCGCCTCTTACGATCATGCAGGGTTAAACAGGTGCCTCAATCCGTAGCCACAAGGGGATTGAATCAACAAGCATGTATGAAGAATTTATCATAATTTCAAGAGCAAGCACAGACAAGTGACAATTTCTAACATGGAGCTTTTTTTAAAATTCTTCAACAAAAGGGTTATGATGACCCTACATCGCTCACCTGAAGTAAGATACAAGATTTGCTCAAATGATTTATCTTAATATGAGGGTTGTTCAAAAAGTAATAGGACTAAGAGTCTTATGTCTCCATATTCCATTAGATTTTAAATATTTTCATATCCACGGCAATAGTTAATTGTTTTCTACAACTTCAGCATAAGTTTATTGAATTATTGCGCTAAACGCGTGTTCCCTGTGATATTAAGAAACCATAGTAACACGCACCCGGCGCAGCGCATCAAAAATATTTTGACGCTAATTTGTACTTTCAGTTTATTCATAATATGTTGTCTTTTCCCCCTAATATTTCACCAACACATTTTATCATATTAAAGTGTCATGTTGTCCAAATTTGACGTCATTCAGACAAGAAATCGTTAAACTATAACGTTTTGTACAGCAGTGATAATCGCGTTAAATGTAGAAAAATGACGTTCGTTGAAAAACTTAAAATGTGTACGATCATTAAATTTTGCCAACAGATAGGCCCTACTCCTTCAGCTACGTATGAAAAGATTAAATTTTCACAGAACTATAATTAGGCAATTAGGACACTCGTTTTCAGCTGGAGAAAGCAGTTCAAAGACGGTGAATATGAGATCACAGACACGAAAGGGCTAGGGAGAAAGCGGAAAATTGACGTTAGAGACGTTAATTGCAATAGCATGTCCGGCATGTTTGATGTTTGCATCGGGTATACTGTTTCAGTTCTAAGAAAATTATTGAATAGGGGAAATTTATTTCAAACACTATTTTATTTTATTAGATATATATGTGTGTGTGTTATCATTGAATAAATTTGATAATGATACGCGGTAATTATTGGTATCAATTTTTCTCGATTTCGTTTAATAAATGATAGCCTGTGCTCAGCCGAAGAGAATATTTTTCAATTAATAAGCATTTTTAATTTACTGTACATAATCATATTGTTTTAAGAATGGCATGTGTAAATAAATAATATAAATCACTTTGTCATTTACATTATATGTCCATGCCCGTTTAGCTTCCAGAATACTCAAAATCACGAGATCAAACCGAAAGATGCCGGCCACCGGGCATGTTTCGAATAAAGAAATGAAAATGTGATTGCTTTTTTTCGCTACATCTCCACAGATGAGTTCTGGTTATAGTTACATGATTCAAGCACCTAGAACATTGTGGAGAATAATTTCAGAAAGAATGACGCTGTTTACATTTTGAATTTATTTTGCGACGTCATGAACGTCATTTATTTAACAATTAGCTTGCGCCGGGTCAAGTACCCCTTGTCATTTGTAAGTTGTACAGAATTGTTGTTTTTAAACATATTGTATTGATTTTTTCACTGTATATAGAGGACAGATTCCGATATTCGATTTTTGTAAACTCGTGTACGTAGATGAAAAAATGTGAACAGTAGAGCTGCAGTCCTATTACTTTTTGAACAACCCTCGTATATAGTTAGCTGTTATCTTGCTGAAACAACAAGTGATTAGTCTATGTCAGCAGTATAGAGCTAGGCAAGCTTGCACATTCTTGCATCTGACAAGGCTCTCTCTGTACTGTTGGTAGCTCCAACTTTTATATTTTGATGTTGAAATACCTTAAACTATGAATGGACTAATCCAATTTCAAAGCTAGGCCAAGGGTAAAAGTTTTCAGTAATTTTTCATGGACTGTTTCTAATTCAAAGCAGGGCATATAAATTCAACAAATTCAGCAAATTAAGTAACAACATGAAATCAAAGATTGTGCATATATAACCTGACAGTAGAACCCCTTACACATCTATTTTATCTTATTTCAGAAAAACTTAAAGGAAGTGCACAATGCAAATTATAACTGATGTAATTCAATAAAGCTGACAATAACATTTGTAGCAATGTGGAAAATACTCAACAGGAAATGACAGACAAACTGCCATCACAAAACCTCACCTCTGAAAACTTTTGTGCTCAGGTGAGCTAATAAAAGCTGACAATGACTTTTGTATCAATTTGACCAATTAAGGAACACACTGCCATCACAAAACCTACCTCTGAGCACAAAATGAGCACTTTGTATGCAAATGAAGTTAAGTATACGCATGACGTATTTATCAATAATATCGAATAAACAATGCACCCACTGAGATGGTGTATAAGCTTCACTTGTTGACATTTAGACTGCATTGAATTGACTTTGAACTTAATCAGCAATTAAATTAATTGTAACAATTATTAGATGTAGTTTGTTTATTTGAAATGATAAAATGCACAACAGAAAAAATCTTCATTTATTAGAAGTTAAACAAGAGGGCCATGATGGCCCTAGATCGCTCACCTGACCCATCAAACTCATCCAAACAATTACCAAGACAAGCATTCTGACCAAGTCTCATGACAGGTGAGTCAAAAATGTGACCACTACAGTGTTAACAAGGATTATCCATATTTGAGCAGTGTGACCTAGTTTTTTACCCAGGTGACCCATATTCAAACTTGACCTAGAAATCATCAAAACAAACTTTCAGACCAATTTCCAGGATGATTGGATCAAAACAGTAGCATCTAGAGTGTTAACAATATTTTTCTATTTTTAGCTCCGGTGACCTAGTTTCACATGCGATTTCGAACTCATCTGAGCAATTACCTAGACAAGCATCCTGACCAAGTTTGATGATGATTGAGGCAAAAATGTGACCGCTAGAGTGTAAACAAGGTTTTTCTATTTTTAGCTCATGTGACCTAGTTTTTCATCCAGGATTACCCATGTTGGAACTCATCCAAGCTATCACCTAGACAAGCAACTTGACCAAGTTTGATGATGATTGATGCAAAAATGTGACCGCTAGAGTGTAAACAAGGTTTTTCTATTTTTAGCTCCGGTGACCTAGTTTTTCATCCGAGATGACCCATGTTCGAACTTATCCGAGCTATCACCTTGACAAGCATCCTGACCAAGTTTGACGATGATTGAGACAAAAATATGACCGCTAGAGTGTTAACAAGGTTTATCTATTTTTAGCTCTGGTGACCTAGTTTTTCATCCGAGATGACCCATGTTCGAACTCATCCGAGCTATCACCTAGACAAGCATCCTGACCAAGTTTGATGATGATTGATGCAAAAATGTGACCGCTAGAGTGTTAACAAGGTTTATCTATTTTTAGCTCTGGTGACCTAGTTTTTCATCCGAGATGACCCATGCTCGAACTCATCCGAGTTATCGCCTAGACAAACATCCTGACCAAGTTTGATGATGATTGAGGCAAAAATGTGACCTCTAGAGTGTTAACAAGGTTTTTCTATTTTTAGCTCTTGTGACCTAGTTTTTCATCCGAGATGACCCATGTTCGAACTCATCCGAGTTATCGCCTAGACAAACATCCTGACCAAGTTTGATGATGATTGAGGCAAAAATGTGACCTCTAGAGTGTTAACAAGGTTTATCTATTTTTAGCTCTTGTGACCTAGTTTTTCATCCGAGATGACCCATGCTCGAACTCATCCGAGTTATCACCTAGACAAACATCCTGACCAAGTTTGATGATGATTGAGGCAAAAATGTGACCTCTAGAGTGTTAACAAGGTTTTTCTATTTTTAGCTCTTGTGACCTAGTTTTTCATCCGAGATGACCCATGTTCGAACTCATCCGAGCTATCAACTAGATAAGCATCCTGACCAAGTTTGATGATGATTGAGACAAAAATGCGACCGCTAGAGTGTTAACAACAAAATGTGAACGGACGACGGACAATCATCGATCCTACAAGCTCATCCTGAGCATGCTCAGGTGAGCTAAAAATTCTGGAAAAATGTCAAACATGTACGTAATGGATCAAAACTGTTTTGTCAATAAATATCACAATCTTATTTTTTACATTAGCATCCATTTAGATTATCGGAGCGTTCTAATTATTCAACATTTACATAAATGAAGTTGAAAAACATTCCCACCACAAAAGAAAGATGTCATTTATATATTTTGACTTTTATATAATACTTTGTCTTATAAGACCGTTTCATTAAGCAACCGTTTTGGGTGTTTCCCTTGCCCGGTCGCTTAATACACGTTTGATTGTATAACATGATTAACATCTCATTTAAGCATTGCATTACCAATGACAACATGAGGTTTACGTGCTGTAGATGATTTTCTGTGATATAATCCTCGAATCACTTCTATCTTTACATTGTTTTCTTCATAAACTTCTCCATCTACTTCTTTAGAGATTTCATTTCCATACATCTGTATGTCTAACGTACAGTCTGGTAACAAGTATCCAAGCTCCTGTGTATAGAATATTCTTTTTGCTAATTACAATTTATAAATGATAAATAATTGATGACCAATACAACTTCAATCATCAATTTCAAAGATTTGTCTCACATAAATTTCTAAGCAAAATTTAAAAAGTTTCATTCCTATTGAATTTTAAGTCATTCTGACATTGTCTACGACATATAACAACTTTCAAAATTTACTGGTTGAGGAAAATCTCAAAGTTCCTTTTATATATCATCAAGGCACTGACTTGCAACCTCAGAAGAATCAAAACTTTCTTTAACTCAAAGCCTGGTAGTGGTGACTGGATCTACCCAGTGGAGACTGGTACTGACCAGACCGGACCAGGATCAGTTTGGTTTTTTTTTAATCAGATTTTTAAGTTTTTGCTATACACATATAAGGAAAATCAATGTCCCCCGGGGCAGGGCCAATTTTGACCCTTGGGCTTTTATTTGAACAAACTTTGAAGACACTAACTGGAAGATGTTTTTTGCTTAATATCTTAACTCTAGCTATTTGGGTTTTTTCAAAGAAGCTTTTTTAAGTTTTTGCTATACACATAAATAAAATCAATGACCCCCGGGGCGAGGCCAATTTTGACCCAAGGGCTTTTATATGAACAAGCTTTGTAGACACTCACTAGAAGATGTTTCATGCTTAGTAACAAAACTCTAGCTATTTGTTTTTTTTCAAAGAAGATTTTTTTCTTAAAGTTTTTGCTTTACACATATAAGGAAAATCAATGACCCCCGGGGCAGGGCAAATTTTGACCCAAGGGCTGATATTTGAACATATTTGGTAGACACCCATTAGGAAATGTTTCATGCTAAATATCTTAGCTCTAGCTCTTTGGGTTCTTTAAAAGAAGATTTTATAAGTTTTTACTATATGCATATAGGGAAAATCAATGACCCCCTGGGGCGGGGCCAATTTTGACCCCAGGGCTTTTATTTGAACAAACTTGATAGACACTCATTAGAAGATGTTTCATGCTAAATATCTTAGCTCTAGCTCTTTGGGTTCTTTAAAAGAAGATTTTATAAGTTTTTACTATATGCATATAGGGAAAATCAATGACCCCCTTGGGCGGGCCAATTTTAACCCCAGGGCTTTTATTTGAACAAACTTGGTAGACACCCATTAGAAGATGTTTCATGCTAAATATCTTAGCTCTAGCTCTTTGGGTTCTTTAAAAGAAGATTTTTTAAGTTTTTACTATATGCATATAGGGAAAATCAATGACCCCTGGGGCGGGGCCAATTTTGACCCCAGGGTTTTTATTTGAACAAACTGGATAGACACTCACTATAAGATGTTTCATGCCAAATATCTAAGCTCTACCTTTTTGGGTTCTTTAAAAGAAGATATTTTAAGTTTTTTCTATCGGTTGCCATGGCAACCAGAGTTCTGCATGGAATTAAATTCTTTGAACAATTTTTAAAGGTGACCACCAAAGGAACATTCCTGTGAAGTTTGGATGAAATAGGCTCAGCGGTTAATGAGGAGATGTCATTTAAAGTAAAAGTTTACGGATGCCGGACGAAAAGCGATCACAAAAGCTCACCCTGTCACTTTGTGACAGGTGAGCTAAAAATGTCTTTTAAGATATTTAGCAAGGTAAGGGCTAATCTAGCAGGACAGCTTGGCAGAATTTATCATTTTTGCGAAATTTGAAACCTTAAAGGCAAGATACAAAATTTAATGATTTAATGCCAGATGCAATATGGCTTACAGAGGCCTTTTATATAAAACATGAAGTAAAAAGACAAGGTAAAGTATGTATAAAGAACATTGTCCCATTTGTTTAGATCAATAGAGGTTATATCACAATCTTCCTGTCAGAGCTGATGAGGTCAGTAGGTCAAAATGACCCAACACGGTTCTGTGGTCTAACTTTGTTTGTTTGTTTAATTGGGTTTTACTTCACACCAACACATCATAGGTCATATAGCGACATCCAGCTTTACTGGTGGAGGAAGACTTCAGGTGCCCTTCAATGCATTATTTCAGGCACAAACGGGCACCTGAGTAGAACCACTGATGTTCCGTAAGCTAGCTGGATAGCTTCCTCACATGAAAAATCCAAAGTCCCTGTTGGGATTAGAACCCGCAGTGGTGAGGGGCTAGTGGTTTGAAGTCAACGCTTTAACCGCTCGGGTAATAATCTCTACAGTACCCATGATTTTAGTTGTGTTTAGAAAAAATTAGGTTGCTTTTGACAGGTGTTGCTCTATAGTGGCTAAATTCTCTGTGAAGTCCGACTATTGGGGGGAAAAATGCTGTTGATGTAAAGAGGTGATTGATTTACAGAGACCATGCTGCAAAGGTTGTACTCACTACTCAAATTCATTTTCAACCAAATTCAGGACTGCTTCCCTATTTCAGTGTCAGTATCAATATTTTTGAGGCCTTATCAAAAACTTCAGAGCCACATCACTAACTCTACAGGTCAATTCATTCACCTATTAATTAATTATAATACCTTAAATATTGCAAGTATTTCCACTTCTCTTTCAACACCAACAATGTCCACTAGAATGTTTCCTTCATCTAAATCTTCCCACCAAGCTGCATCTGTAACATCAATTAAGTTAGCATAAGGTCTTGTCCAACATAGACACAACCTAGTGAAATACAAGAAATATCTAATAACCCAGATAAATGCTAACTGATGAAAGATATTAGCTATATTCATCTTTGGGTTAAACACTTTTAATGACAGATTTTTTTTTTCAAAATTGTTAAGTTTTCTGTAATTACACTATGTTGCCTTTAGTGTGTATACTTAAAATACTTAGTACATCTTCTGTATGAGTGTATGCTCTCAAAAGATGTTTATTTAACATCTATAATAGACTGTGAAACAATTTTCAGTATACTTGAATACCAAACTTGAGCATAATGTATCTTATTCTATTATATACATGTATGTATTCTGCTTTGAAATTCAACACTGTCAATGTGTCTAAAGGCTAAATTGAAATAAATTGTACAGAGATGTGGCAAAGGTAAATTTTTAACATCCTTACGACTTCAAAACAAGGATTCCTGGCTGCATGGGCTCAAACCCAGTTAGAGCCAAGTCTTTGTTTCCTTGAGCAAGAAACTTAACACTCATCGCTGTTCAGAAACATACCTAAAAGTGTGTCTTTAAGCTTATCTATGTAGCTTCCTAAATGATCAGACTAAAACATATTCTGAAAAATAATCAAACTAAATATGGTGATAATTTTAAGTTAACTCAGGACATAGCTGACTTAAATTAAAGTAAGTACTTTACTACATCAAGGCCAATACTTAGAGTAGCAGTTCCTTTTCTCAATGTTACATCGTATACCTTGACAGTTGGACCCATAATGGTATGGCCTCATTTGGCATGCACTGGTAGAATCTATAAAGGTGCATCTACATACACATTTGTATGCCAGAATCATGCAATGGGCAGTGGCACATCATCAACATGACAGTAAACATTTCTGTCATGTGAATCTAAAATTTCTAAATACATTTGTACAATAAACAGTTGTTTTTTTACACTTATAACATTTCCTTTTTTACATGTTTAACATCTGTTACCTCAAATAATGATTAATTATGCTTTGAAATTTATTCTACTTTGTTTCACAAAACAAACTAAATTTTTTTATACATTATTTAAATTAAACAAACTTACTGTCATTAGGTAAGCAGTATTTGATGATGTAGAATATGGTAAGAGGCCAATGCAATAGGACAGCAATTGGGGAATCCAACCTGAAACCCCTCCACTTGTAGTAGGATTCCCAATTATTTATACCTTCTACCACTTTGTCAGGCTGCTCTTCCAATATGGTGGACTCTACCGGTAATATCACCAAATCATTTGTTTTTGGTAGTTCACCTGCATCATAAAATCAATATGAAAGTTTTGTTTTGCTTTTACATCAGATCTCATGCTCATTCTATCAAGGAATGACCGTGCAAAAGCTGTTACAACCTGACTAAACATTCCAATCATTGACAATTGCATCTGAGCAGAACCATCGATGTTGGCTAAGCTAACTGGACTTAATTCTCACATGAAAGAAAAGATTTTGGATGTGAGACATAGGTTTGAACCCCAGATGAACCATATTCAAACTTGAGCTAAAATTCATAATCAACCGAACAACCTTTATGACAAATTTTCACGATATTTGGGCTGAGACAGCTAGTAGCCATTACAATGTAAACAAGATTTTTTTATTTTTGGGTCATGTGACCTAGGTTTTCATCTGAGATGACCCATATATTGACACTCATCCCAATAATTACTCAGTTATTGAGACAAAATGTGACCACTTGAGTGTTAATGAACAAAGTGTGGACAGACAACGGATGTGAGCTAATAAATCTTTAAGTTACACAAAGACATTAGTATGTTTTTAATTGGTAAGATAAATTTTTTTTGCTTTTATGTCAAATCTTCCTTTTATATTTTGTACACTAGAATAAATATACATTAGCTTTAAACCTTGTTGTGAAGGTCTATTATCAGTGGCAGTAATTGCTACAGTATATACATGTATTGTCAGTATACAGTTTAACTATTTTTGCATTACAAATGTATTTTCATATTTTTTTTATAAAAAACCCCTAAATGGCAAATAAACTGTTCCAAATTCAAAGACTGGGAAAGTCTATTGCACAAATTTAGCTATGAGGTAGTTAAACAGCTTGACATCACATAAAGTTCATGTAGACTTAAACCTTCTTACCAGTAACCATCAGACCATGATAAACCTTGGTGTTTCCATGAATAGATAGATATACATGTAGTTTCAGTTTACTTTCCCAACTATAGTGCGGCTGCAAATAATTGTAAGTTACTGTTTTTTTATTTATTTAAAATGAAGAAGAGTTGTTAAAAGAACTAGCAAGAATTTAGTTTATTAACTTAGTTGATAGTTTTAATATGGATTTAATATGGATTAACCTGACAGTGAACTTCAGTAAAGTTTCAGGTAAATTTGTAAAGTACATGTATTTTGAGAGAAAGTGGGTGTATGGTTGATTTACATAGTGACCTAGGCAAACAATTTATGAAAACATTTCTTTCATTTCATTATTTTGATGGTTGAAGTAAGTTTCAACAGGTGTCCTAAATATTTGTCCCCTCAAGTATTATAATACCTGTGTTGTTGTGATGGTAGTAGAGGAAAGGTTGTACATAGACACTGTATAAATCACCAGTTTAGTGCAACAGGCTAGAGTGGCTACTGAACAATATATATAACTGTCTGTCCTCAAGCTGGATATTATGAGGGTTCACATGTATGAATCCCAAGTCTTTATGTCGGTCAAAAGCTATACATAGCTTATGTTTTGTAAAATGTTATATATATACCGACAATAAATAAATTTTGATTTGATTTGATTTGATTTGAAGTCTCTTTCAGGACTTGCGCCTTCAGATGTAAAAGGCAACTATTCACAGTGAGCAACTTAATAACTTCAGTTTAAAATTCTTCAATCAATGATGCAAAAATAAATTTATACCCTCATAATTTTTTGTTTTTGGTTGTTTTTTTGTGTTCATTTTTCTTTTTTTTCTTTTTCATTTTTAGGGAGGGGGGGTTCCCCTTTTTTGTAAAAAAAGGTTTTGTAACTTTATACAAGGTTTTATTTTTATTTGAAATACTTAATTATTTAAAAGTACAGTATGATATTAATGAAAACCATAATAAACTTAACCCTGCTAGTGGAAACTGTAATCACCCATGCAACCAGTGCAAACAAAAACAGCAGACACTTCCAGGCTGTCTATTATCTTGGTCTGCACTGTTTGCTTACAATTTAGTCAATGGACACTTATAGAGGTCAGATCATTACTTCACCTTACCCTTGTCAAGTCTCAGTAACTTTTATCATTTCAACATGAATTAGTAGGCACCTGTCTCAATCATAAAACTTGTTCAAATTGAATTTCATTGACCATCATTAGCTTAAATTATTGAGACTGGATGCCTGTGGATGGTAAATGCAACCTAAGTTTATGAATTACAAAGATTCCCTACTCCTGTTAAAATGTTACTCATAGTTGACAAGGGTGTAGCAAGATGGGGCTCAGGGACTGACCCCACTGATGGTCCATGAGTCAGTCATTATATTATATTTTAACTTTAAATCTTCCCTGAAATCCATCTATGATATTTAGTGACAAGGTGGTTTATACATTTTATCTTTGCTATATCAACAGGGTTAAGTTCAATTTTTAATCAAATTTATCAACTCTTGAGACTCTTGACTTTTTACCATCTTTATCAAAGGTAGCTTTCTCATAACAATCTCATGATCATTTTCAAGGTGAAATGATAATTCTATAATTGTCAGTCATTATATTATATATTATTTTTAAATCTTCCATCTATAAATCTCATGTGTAAACAAATTTACACCATTAAGTTTTATTTTGCCAATATTTAAATATTTTAACACCGAACAATGATCAATGTCAAATAAAACTCAAGGTAAATATTTCAGCAAGCGAAACAAAACGCAATTATCCTATATGTATCTAATGTTTAAATAATTATACAATGCATTGCATAAAGAAATGATAAATACAGATTTCGAAATTTACCCATGAAAATGACATTAATGGTAAACATTGAACATATGGGTATTAGGCATGATAAATGAACAGATATCGAGGCTTATACATATAATCACCACACTTCTCCCCACACTTTATTTTAAAAAGCATAAGCTTGCTCAATGAAACATAGGGTTAATCAAACAGTGACATATAACTAAAATCACTACAATTTCAACAAGAGCCCGGTTTGAGCCGGGTGATGCTCCCCGAAAAGAATTTGGACACAGGAAAGTACACCTCTTGTAGTTTCAGAGTTATGTCCCTGGATAAAGTTGAAAGTGCAATAATTCCAAAATTAGGCAAGGCAGAGTAACTGTTCTTTGCACTGCACTTCTAATCAATGTGATCTATCAACCTACAAAGTTTCATGTTGATATCTCTTATGGTTTCCGAGTTATGTCCCGGACAACTTCAAAAAGTAAAAATAAACAAAGGGAAATAACTCCAGAATTAAGCAAGGCAGAGTTATGATTCTTGTGCTCTGCACATCTACCCATTGAGATATATCTACCTACAAAGTTTCATGTTGATATCTCTTATAGTTTTACAGCTATGTCCTGGACAAGATTTTTCTAAAAGGGGAGATAATTCAAAAATGAAGCTTAACAGAGTTATGGTTCTTTTGCACTGCACATCTACTCAATGAGATCTATCTACCTACAATGTTTCATCTTCATATCTCTTATAGTTTTAGAGTTATATTCCTGACAAAGTTCAAAGTGTTAAAATTAACAAAGGGCAATAACTCCAAAATTAGGACAAAAAGAGTTGCTGTTCTTATGCACTGCACATCTATCCGTTGAGATCTATTCACCTACAAAGTTTCATGTTGATATCTCTTATAGTTTTAGTTATTTCCCGGACAAGATTTTTCTATAAGGGGAGATAATTAAAAAACCTGGCAAAATAGAGTTATGGTTCTTTGACACTGCACTCCCCCTCAATGCCCTCTACCACTGTATGAAGTTTAAACAAATTATCTCCAAGGGTTTTCAAGTTATGCTCTGGACAAGACAACGGACGGACAGAGGGACGGACATACCAAAATTTGATGTTTATGAGGCAAATGAGCTCATAAACACCATCTGGACCAACGTCCATAAACAAAATAAGCTCATAAAAACAAAAAAATAGCTCTTAATTTGAATTTTATGAGTTTATGTTCTTTATTTAACTACGGAATGAAGCTCATAATAATCAAATGTTGACAGACAGACAAGGCGCCAACATTTTTCAGGGAGCAAAAAAATTTGACTAGTATAATGGTCACTTACAATAATTGATTATGACAGAATTTTTACCAATATCATATAAAACTGTCTCTACAATAATATAACAAGAGCGATCAGTAATCACATGTGTCGCCTCATGATGGCCAATTTCATGTTGGGACAAATTTTGTGACAGACGGACAGACAGACGGATAGTGCACAACCAGACTCGGTACTGATCATTCCTGTAAAGTTTGGATAAAATTGCACCAGTAGTTTATGAGGAGTAGTCCGGACAAGCTTTTGCGTATCCGGCAACACACAGAAAAAAACACCTTTTTATCAAAGGGCCATAACTCGGCCAAAAATCATTCAACCAGAAAACCAGTGCAATATGCGCAAGGACTTGAGCTACAGATCAATCCTGTAAAGTTTCATTGAAATTGCATCAGTGGTATAAGAGAAGTAGTCCGGACAAACTTTAAAAATAAAAATTATTAAAGGGCCATAACTCAAACAAAAATCATTGAACCAGAAAATGCTGACAATATGCACAACCAGACTTGGTACTGATCATTCCTGTAAAGTTTGGATGAAATTGCACCAGTAGTTTATGAGGAGTAGTCCGGACAAGCTTTAGTGTATCTGGCAACACACAGAAAAAGAAACCTTTTTATCAAAGGGCCATAACTCTACCAAAAATCATTCAACCGGAAAACCTGTGCAATATGCACAAGGACTCGAGCTACAGATCAATCCTGTAAAGTTTCATTGAAATTGCATTAGTTGTATAAGAGAAGTAGTCCGGACAAACTTTAAGAATAAAAATTATTAAAGGTCCATAACTCTGAAAAAAATCATTAAACCGGAAAATGCTGACAATATGCACAACTAGACTTGGTACTGATCATTCCTGTAAAGTTTGGATGAAATTGCACCAGTAGTTTATGAGGAGTAGTCCGGACAAGTTTTGTGACGGACGGACGGACAGACAGACAGACAGACGGACATACAGACGACGGAGAAGTGATCCCTATATGTCGCCACTACTCCGTAGAGGCGACACAAAAACGTATTTTTTTATTAATTAAGCGTTATTGAAAAATTTAGGATAAAAATTTATAAAATTTCTGAGTGTCACAAAGGTTATTGCTTACTCATGTGAAGTTAAGAATATAAAGTTTAAAGCATTTATGCCAACATGTGAAGGTATTTTGACTTTTACCTGCATTGTGTCACTTTAAACAAAACTGAAATTATGAAGGTTAAAGAATTTGACCTTTGACCTTATAATTCACCACTGTGAGTCCTTGGCAAATTTGACCTCAAGGGTCATGCTATGAACAAACTTAAAGATGGTCCACTTAGGAATGCTTCATGCAGAATATTAAAGTTTTAGGCCACATTGTTCATTCCGGTTAAGGAGTTTTTTAAGTTTTCACCACAATGCCTTGGTAACTAGACAGAAAATCGCATTACTAAAGCATTAAACCCATCATTAAGGCTGTTGGAAGTGGCCTATACCTATAATCACTACACTCCCCCCCCCCCCCCCCACTTTACTTGGCATAATTCTGCAGTGTCCTAAAAATTCCCACATGTTTCAAAAACAATGTACACATATTGATATAAGATTAAAATTTCACTAATGTATGACAGCTTAACCTGCAAATCTTAAAGGCTATGAATGGGAATTTAGGATCTATAAAAATTTATGCAATGTGATCAAGTAGTTTATCTCATATTGCTTAACACATGTGGAATTTAAATACATGACTATGTGGTGATATTCATCAAAATATAGATATCATAGCAGGTTGTTTACCACAATCAAATATACATATACATTTATGATATATTTTATTGCATTCAGTATTGAATCATTGTTTCTTTCTTCTTTTGTTTTTGTTGTTCGATTTTATGTCGCATCAACACAGTAGATGTCATATAATGGCCACTTTCTAGCTTTATTAGAGAAAGAAAGACCTCAGGTGCCCCTCCATGAATTATTTCATTGTTTAAAGCAGAATATAAGATTTACCAACTTGCAAAATTTTAGGTTACTATATATGTTCATTTATTTGTATAAATAAAACACATTTTCTTCTTTTTTCAGATAAACAATCATGGCAGTGCCTGGAAAGAGAGTATCAATAGATGGCTCCAAATCAATATCACTTGGATCTGAAGAAGACCTGAAACTCTATTGCCTACCATGTGACAGAGTTGGTCCAAGAGTGGTAGCATTTGGTTTCTGTCAGGACTGCAAGGAGCACCTGTGCTGCTCTTGCTATGACCATCATCAGAGAGCCACTCCATCTCGTAACCATGTTCTTCTGGATAAACACTCAATGCCAAAAATACAACATCATTTTTCAACTGCTGGTCCTGGAGTGTCTGCTACACAAGAGGATCATGCTGGTGATGATGACCTTACAATACCATGTACAAAACACAAGAAGAAAATGATCGAATTTTACTGTCGGTACCATAAGGTAACCATATGCAGTGTGTGTGTGACTCTACAACACAATGGTGGGTCATGCAAGGTGGATTATATACCAGATATATCTGGCCAAGCTGTTGACAGTCATGAATTGAAAGAAATTGTTCAAAATATAGATACACTAGATCAAGACTGCATGGAACTAAAAGAAACATATCAGGAACAAACAGAAAATTCCATAAGATCTTTAACTGAAGCCCTTACTAAGATAACAAATTATAGACAAGAAGTCAATGAGAAAATTGATAAATTACAATCCAAGATACAAAACAAAGTTAAAACTCTTAAACAAGAAAAAACCCAGTCACTGCTGAGTATTGAAGCAATATGCGATGATGTCTCTCAATCATTAAACTTACTTTCAGACAATATCAAACAAAAGAATAAGCCAAGTCAAGCAAACAAACTGTTTATAGAACTTCAAGCTGCCAATGAAGAGCTGAAACAACATGAAACTTGTATCAAACAGGTATCAAATGATGATGTAGAAACATTTCATTTCCAACCAAATACAGAAATAATCACTTTTCTACAAACTCAAACCTTCTTTGGAAAACTTGAAGAGCAAAGAACACAAAGCACAGAGGAGCAAACAAAAGAGCAACCAAAATATCCCGCACCTATGGTAGAAAACAAACCAGACTCAATGTCTCCACAAGCTGTAGAACATGGAGCACCAAACTTTAAACTGCAAAGAAAAGAGCAGCCAAAGCTAACTATGCCCATGGGAAAAGACATACCTGATTCAAATTTTTCCCCAGAAGTAGAAATGAAAGAAGAGTTTTCACTTGAAAGTACCATTTGTGTACGTACTGCAGAAGATAATAGAGGATCATATTGTCGTATTTCAGGTCTAGCACTCCTTACCCCAGATCAATTAGTGATTGCTGATCATTTCAATAATTGTATGAAATTAGTCTGTGTCAGAAGCGAATCTGTCACTTCACAACTAGCTCTAAACTCGCCACCTCATGATGTTACCATGGTAACAAACACTCAGGTCGCTGTATGCCAACCATCTGGTCAAACAATCCAGTTTATATCGGTTAGATTCGGCAAGCTAACGAAGGACAATAGTATTCATGTTAATGGGGCATGTCATGGAATATGTCACTTCAAAGATAAACTTGTGGTAACTTTTGATGCACCTCCAAAATTTGAGATCTTAGATATGAGTGGAACAGTTCTTACGCAAGTGACACACAATGCCAAAGATGATCTATTTTTCAATAAACCACATTATGTAGTAGTTGATGAATGCTCTATCTATATATCTGACTGGCAGTACCATACAGTATTTAAATTTAATTGGCAAGGAAAAGAAAGGGGTCAATTAAAGAACTTTGGACAAAACAAAGGTCTAGCTATAACATCCAGCGGAATACTGTATGTTTGCGACAGTACAAGACATAAAATAAACCGACTATGGGGCGACCATACAGTGGGTAAGATACAAACATCAAAGCTGAATTGTCCATCAGCTGTAGACTGGTGTGCTGACAGTAAAACATTGTTTGTCAGCTCTGGATCGTATTCTGAAACAGGCAACAACATCTTCATCTTCCGGAAAATGAAAATGTGAAGGTCATAGAAAGTAACTTGTGAAGACTGATGTGCCAGTAACATGGACATCTTTCCTTATATGTCAATTCAACGATTCTACCACCTTTTAGCACTTGCTTTTGCAAGTATACTGTAAACTTTTACCATTAAAACATTTTCAACAAATTGGTCAGTAAGCCAAACTTAGGACTATTTCAACCTACATTTTGCCAGTAAGCCAATTGTGTATTCTGTTCCTGATAATGTGATAATAATATAGAAGTATTTATATTTTGACAAACAATAGTCAGCTCTATAAAGTTGTTATGTTCTGTTCTTAATACATTGTATTTTTTAGCAAATAAAGTGGAAACAGCCTATTCCCAACTAGTCATAATATCATTTATATAGCACTTTTAAACAGTGTTCAATCCTAGCCACTTCACTTGACTTAAGAGCTATTTCTTTAGTTAAAAGTACTTTCTTTTGTTGTACATAGGGTCTTACCCCATCTCCTTTTGTAATTGAATTAAGACTATTGTTCCCTTTTGTTCAGTTCACTGTTTATGAGAGTTCATTTATATTTACATTGCTCATACAATTATCAAGATCATGTCAATGACAAAAATGTTACATGTGGTATTAAATCATCTGAAGAACAATCTTTCCTGTGAATTAAAGTATTCAATGGTCAACTTGACATGTGTCCAAAATGTACTTTATGAAACCTAAGATAATTTACTACATGTACTTGTATTATGATCATTTTCTTACTGTCATCACAGATATAAACTTACAGGATTAGCTTCCTCTCAAGAAAAAAAACAAGCTTGACTATTCTTTGCGTTTGAGAGTAAAACAAGAACCTCACCTCAATAATGTAGGAATTGACAAAAATTAGTTGTGACATAGTTGTGAGTCTTTGATATTGACCAAAGAAATTTGTAAGTTCACAAAGGAACATTTTTCATTGAAAATCCATGCAAGAGTTTTTCTAAGTTTACCAAAGGCTTTAAGTCAGTCAAATTCTGTGCTAGAGTTATGGCCCTGGATACGGATCTCCAAACATGGGTATTAAGACATACAAAATATTTCAAGTGAATATATTAAGAAGTTCTGAAGATTGACATTGCTTATAAAACTTTAATCATGAATTTCACAAAGTTCCCAAATGGCCATTAATGAGACAAATTCCACACCAGAGTTATGGGTTTTGTATAATGACCTCTAATTATAATCCCAAATACATGTACTTAGTTTAATTAAAGTGAACATCTTAAGATGTTTCACAAAAGACCATTATTTAATCTAAAAACATGCCAAATTCACACATTTTCTTGGATAGCCAACTAGTAACAAAAGAACTACCAAGGCAGCACTGCCTTCTTCAAAAAGTTTAGCTTAAAATAGCAACAGTCAGGTATATAAAACAAACATCACAACTGTCCAATGAAAACTAGAACTATCACTAAATGTGATTAATACCCCCACAAGACTGCTTCGGAAATGAGGATGTTACTAGTAACAGAATACCTTGTAAAAGAATTGAAATATAGAGTTATGGTTGTGGGCAATTAAAGATAGTTGTGGTTCTTGTATATTGCATTTCCTTTCAATGTGGTTGGCCATTGATAAAGTTTTATTGAATTACTCTGTAATAAGTCCAGAAAGACAAAGAAAAGGAACAAAGGGCAATAACTCTATAAATACTGAAGATGGAGTTATAGTTCTTGTGCACTGCACTTCCTCTTTTTGTGCTTGACCATTGTATGAAGTTGTTTTGAATTTCAACCAGTATGTTTTAAGTTATGCTCCAGACAAGGAAAAGTATCAAAGGGCAGTAACTCTGTATTTTGTCAAAATGGCTCTTATGCACTGCACTTCCTTTTGATATCCTTGACATCTGTATGAAGTTGTATTGAATTCCAAACAGTAGTTTTCAAGTTATGCTCTGGACAAGGAAAAGTAACAAGGGCAATAAATCTGTAATTTGTCAAGATGGAGTTATGGTTCTTGTGCACTGCACTTCCTCTCAATGTGCTTGACCATTGTATGAAGTTATATTGAATTCCAACCATTAGTCTTCAAGTTATGCTCCGGACAAAAAAAAGCAATGGAAAAGTAACAAAGGGCAGTAACTCTGTAATTAGTCAAGATGGGGTTATGGTTTTTATGCACTGCACTTCCTCTCAATGTGCTTGACCATTGTATGAAGTTATAATGAATTCCAACAATTAGTCTTCAAGTGATACTCCGGACAAAAGAAAGCAATGGAAAAATAAGAAAGGGCAATAACTCTGTAATTACTTTAGATAGAGTTATGGTTCTTATGCACAGCACTTCCCCTTACTGTGTTTGACAATTGTATGAAGTTGTTTTGAATTACAACCAGTAATTTTCAAGTTATGCCCTGGACAAGGAAAAGTAACAAAGGGCAATAACTCTGTAATTAGTCAAGATAGAGTTATGGTTCTTCAGCACTGCACTTCCTCTCAATGTGCTTGACCATGGTATTTAGTTATATTGAATTCCAACCATTAGTCTTCAAGTTATGGTCCGGACAAAAGAAAGCAATGGAAAAGTAACAAAGGGCAATAACTCTGTAATTAGTCAAGAAAGAGTTATGGTTCTTGTGCACTGCACTTCCTCTCAATGTGCTTGACCATTGTATGTAGTTATATTGAATTCCAACCATTAGTCTTCAAGTTATGGTCCGCACAAAAGAAAGCAATGGAAAAGTAACAAAGGGCAATAACTCTGTAATTACTTTAGATAGAGTTATGGTTCTTGTGCACTGCACTTCCCCTTATTGTGTTTGACAATTGTATGAAGTTGTTTTGAATTCCAACCAGTAGTGTTCAAGTTATGCCCCGGACAAGGAAAAGTAACAAAGGGCAATAACTCTGTAATTAGTCAAGATAGAGTTATGGTTCTTGTGCACTGCACAATTCCTCTCAATGTGCTTGACCATTGTATGTAGTTATATTGAATTCCAACCATTAGTCTTCAAGTTATGGTCCGCACAAAAGAAAGCAATGGAAAAGTAACAAAGGGCAATAACTCTGTAATTACTTTAGATAGAGTTATGGTTCTTGTGCACTGCACTTCCCCTTATTGTGTTTGACAATTGTATGAAGTTGTTTTGAATTCCAACCAGTAGTGTTCAAGTTATGCCCCGGACAAGGAAAAGTAACAAAGGGCAATAACTCTGTAATTAGTCAAGATAGAGTTATGGTTCTTCAGCACTGCACTTCCTCTCAATGTGCGTGACCATTGTATGTAGTTATATTGAATTCCAACCATTAGTCTTCAAGTTATGGTCCGGACAAAAGAAAGCAATGGAAAAGTAACAAAGGGCAATAACTCTGTAATTACTTTAGAAAGAGTTATGGTTCTTGTGCACTGCACTTCCCCTTATTGTGTTTGACAATTGTATGAAGTTGTTTTGAATTCCAACCAGTAGTTTTCAAGTTATGCCCCGGACAAGGAAAAGTAACAAAGGGCAATAACTCTGTAATTAGTCAAGATAGAGTTATGGTTCTTGTGCACTGCACTTCCTCTCAATGTGCTCGACCATTGTATGTAGTTATATTGAATTCCAACCATTAGTGTTCAAGTTATGGTCCGGACAAGGAAAATGCAACGGACGTCTGGACCGACCGAACGACCGACCGCCCGACCGACCAACCGACCACCGGGTGACTCCTATATACCCCCCCAAACTTCGTTTTTGGGGGTATAACTAGCATTACATGCATAATGCTAAAAATAACTTGTACCCTTACCAAAAGGAACGAGGCATGGACAATCTTTATATTGCTTGCTAGCTGACAGACATTCCCGACGCCAGCCACCTTCTCCAACCACACCATTCTTCTTTAAAAACTCTCTATATCTGATACCATCAAAGTCTTCACATGTGGTCTCTACAAAATATTTAAATCTGTAAAGTCTAGGGCCAAATCTGTCCAGGTTCTATACTGTCGGCAAATCAAATGCCAAACTATCATGATACGCATGCTTTTAAATATGACTGTGGTCTTTTGTTTTCAAATTTATCATGTTTTTTTGGTCATATCTTACTATCGAATCCACATAATTGGTTTTTCTGAAGAACTAGCAAGTAGACACCACAGCAAGTGACTGACTACTCATCCCAAATGATTTCTTAAACATGAAATTTGTCTCTTCAAAATTTAAAGCATGAAAAGTCGATATTTACTTTGAGAAAAAAATTCACTATGAAAACAGATGGATAAATGCTTAAAATCAACAATTTTACACTAGCTTACTTTAAAACCTTTATATGGTTCAACTTAATAAATCTTATGGAACTTTTAATATGGAAACAGATGCTTAAAATTTACAGTATAACACTATACTAGCTTTGCTGGTGTTTTCATATTGCTTGCAAAATGAACACACATGGGATTTATGCATGACCTTATATATACATGATAACAGAAACATTCTAAGTTAAATTAAAGGAGATCAACAAACTTGTATTTGAGTTATCTGCCTAGAAGCTAGGTGGACAGCATTCTTATACATCAAAAGGAGGATTCAAACCCTCAGTTGTTTAAGGAAAAACATGGAACAAATAATGTGATAAATATACAGAATCTTATTCCATCATATTCAAATTTCATTCTAAATATTAGGGCTGTGCATCGCCATTTTTTTCTGTCACGATACATACCACGATACTTGCATATCCAAACGATGCGATTCACGATATGTATAGCATACTTCGATAAAATCCGATGCATATTGCGATTTTTATGTTTCGATGCAATACGTATCACAATACAGACTTTCAGACTTTATCTATATAAAAAACCTGGTCATTTATTCACAGCATAATATTAACGAATGCTATATAAAACTTTTTCAATAACAAAACAATAAAATCTACAACTTGTTATTATAACTTATTTTCAAGTTTTGATCTTTCAACAATTTACATTACTTATTACTTAAGGATTTTTACTTTTTACTAAAGGATTAAAGGTATTTTTCATTATACCATACCTATTAGTGTATTGCGATACTTTCCCCCCTATATCGATGAATCGGGTGGTGAAATATGTATTGCATCCTGATATATTGGAATTTATAAATTCATTACAATGCATACATCGAAGACAGGGCAGATCGCGATGTATCGATGCATCGATGAATCGTTACACCTCTACTAAATATAGAGTAAAAATGTTGTTTTTTACCTTGTGCAAAGGTAAATGGGAACTGTTTAAGTTGGTCAGATTTAGACATGTAGGTTTTCATCTTCTTACACCAGTTCTTGTGACAGTGAGCAGCTAGCTGTCCTTTCTGAGACCAGTCTTTCTTCTGACATTCCTTAGAACAGTATAGTACAGCTTGGCAGGATGAACTGTAAATACAATTTATTTAACTGTAGAATGATTTAAATTTGCTTTATATTCAAATTGAAAAGTTTTGCTACAAGAAAATGTTGTGTTGCTTACACAATGTTCAATATATATAATATGACTGCTATCATACTTTGACTGTCAGTGTTGGCATTAATTACATATGTAAGTGTGCTACAGCAAAAAGCAAGAGAACGAGTTCATGTTTCTAGTAATTTGAATTTTAGAGTTCTTGCTGAGCACCTTCATTGAGCAACATGAATGGTAAATGAACAAGACAAGTGTTACATTGACTTCACTGTGGTTAAAACCAGAACTACAGTATACAGAAGAAAAAAAGTTTTTTTGTTTTTTTGTTGTTGTTTTATTTTGTGTGGTCAGACAAGATACAATCTTATAGAACATTTGACTCTTTTTATTTCAGACTCTATTATGTCAAAGAAAGCATAACCTGCAATATATCTCTTTATCTATTAAAATTGTGTGGTAAATATGTTGAATTTTTGTCAAAATTTTAACTTAAAAGAATTTCAACAGAGGTTTAAAAAAAAGTTCATTAGAAGCCCGCTGCAATACAACAGTAGAAGAATTTTCTTCATTTTAACTAGCACTGTGGTTGGTTAAATTCAGCTTTAAGTACAGGAGCATCAGATTATGCATGGCTTTGATTAGGATTCCTACTTTGTTTATATTGGATAGTCATAAAGTCCTGAACTCCTGATATACAAAATCCTAGTGAATGTCATAGAATTAATGAAATGTCCAAAAATTATCCATAACAATTATATTATCTTTGTGGAAATTTTGATTTTCTCTCTTTCAAATGTAAAATCCAGTATAGGTTGACGGTCTTCCTTTTAATGTGTATACTGAGAAATTTATTTTGGACAAATCAAAGCATATTTAACATACCATTTTTTGAAAAGGTCTTTAGATCCTCGTAGGCGGCACAAGCTACATTCTCTCATTCTGATTGGTTCAGACTCAGCTATTTGTTCTATCCCTGCATACATATATGTGATACCCAAATCTGATACGTTCAAACCAACGGCTTTTCTGAAACAAGCCAACAAATGGTAGTACAGTCACACAATAAATGCTTTAATAGCATGATACAATGATTCAAATACACATGATATATCACTACAAATACATTTTTTTAAAACTACAAGTAAACGTAAGACTGCAACAAATACAAAATACAGAACTAAAGGTTCAAGATATTCCCTAATATTGTTTGTTTGTTTGTTTCATTTTACGCCTTTTCCCAACAGTATGTCAGTCATATAGGCGGGTAGTTTCCTAACCATCGTTACTGGAGAGTAACACCAGTATTAGACTACCTTCCTCCGCGCTAAACTACCAAAGCATCTCCCAGGGATCGAACCCATGCCAGAGAGGTAACTGGATTAGAAGTCATCGACTCTAACTCCTCGACCACGGAGGCGGTTACAATTCCCTAATATACTTTCAAACATAACTTTAATGCATATGTAGCACAGTGGTAAATGACATCTTTTGGATCAGGTATATAAATTATATGAGCATTTTTAGCAGATGCCTATGGCTAAACACTTAATTAACAGGTTTTTACAGAACATAAAATGTCATGTTCCACCATCGATTAATTTCTTGGTTGCATCTGCACATGCACATAACAAATGAGACATCAATTATGAACTAAAATCTAGTTGTGGATACTATTAATTAGGGATGGCAACAAATACAAAATCAATACTCGAGTACTCGGTCATTTTTCCGATCGAGTACTCGGTTACTCGGATGATTTCTAGTGATCTTCAAAGTTTATCTCACAATATCAACACCGTCCACATGCTACTTTTGTTTTCTATTTAAATTTCATAATTATAAATAGGACGCCACGGGAGACAAATTAATTAAAATTCATTCAACAACATTATATTTTAGAACATTTTAATTAAAGCAATATGAAGTTTTAAACATGTATAACAGTTCATATACATTTTTGCGTCTTGAAATAATATAGACTTATCGGCGGTAAGAAAAGTTTAAAAGGGGTCTAAATACTTGTTACCTTTATTCTTTCATTCATAATAGCAATCAGCCCTTTGTTGTTTTCAAAACAGTTACTTCCGCTACAAACTGTTTCAAAACTTAAGGTAATTGAATATCATAAGAGCTGGATGACATAAGCGACACAGGTGCGCGTGTCAAACTGTTGATCGCCTCGTTAAATTTATGATATCATATTTGCACCTCTGCAAGGATGTTTTGATTGCATTGAACAGGTATTTATGAAGATATCTGCACATCTCCGAATTTCTGAACTAATTGGACACACCAATCTTTCTAAATCGTTAAAAAAAATATAAATAATATTTTTTTTCCGAGTAATCGAATATCAGTTTCGTTAACCGATATTCGGACGTTCCATCGTGTACTCGGTTAACCGGTTACTCGTTGCCAACCCTACTATTATATATATATATATATATATATATATATATATATATATATATATATATACCTGATTGGTTAAAAAATAAATAGATAACTTACTCTGTTAATACTGGATCTTTGAAGGTCACTTTCAATGGTCTTCTAGGGAGACCGACCATCGGGTGAAGCGTACATACACACAATAATTCTCTACAATGATTCACAAATGACTTCTCGTTTGCAATTTCCGTTGTTGCACCAAGTATATAGTTCTTCTTGTCACTGACTGACAGAGCTCTGATAGATTGTCCATCCTCATCTGTGAATAAATTCCAAAACTTAGTTAAAACAAATTTATTTCAGTTTCATTGTGTTGGAAGCTATAAGCTTATTGAAACACTTATTGAAACACTCTCGAATCTGCTTATTGAAACACTCTTGATTCTGTTCTTTGAACCAACCAGTTCTAAGCAATAAGAGTTAAGTATCCTGCTCACGGAAACATCAGCTTGCCTCTGAACCCACGTGGCCAGCAATCCTTAGATTACTAGTGCGATGTGTTAACCATTCAGCCACGCCGCCACTTTCCAAAAATTAATGACATTCAGCAATGACTAATAGTAACCTGCCATTGCTCTATATATAAATAGTACACTGACATTCAGATGGGCATTATTATGTAAAATAATCTGAGTGCATTATAACAACAAAGCCAAAACTATCGAAAGATGCAAATCCAAGCAACATTATTTGGCAATGACTTTATTTAACTCATTTACTTATAATAGTATAAGCTAACAACATGATCTGCATGAAAATATATCTTTGTCTGCATGCATTTATTAGAGAGACTGACAAAACCCCATGAGACAAAAACATAAACTTTAAAATTTTCTGAAGTGGACAAAAACCCACCTTGAAATTTGCCACTCTTAAATTTTCCTATGTCAACAAAAACTGGACTTGCTATATATTGATATATACAAGTATATACATAAAAAAATTATTTTTCACCAAATATCTTTATTATTTTACATAAAGTACATTTCTCTTACTATTGAAAATCATCAAACAACAAGAGCTGTCAGTAGAACAGTGTGCTCAACAATTCTCAGTGCTTGATAGTAAAACATGGGCTGGCTACTTAAAATTTTCTAAGTTCAAAAAGGGCTATATACACTTGTGGACAGTGACCTATAATGTTCTAAAATTAGTGTGTTAAGTTTTAACCCATTCTAGTTTTGGACATATCAACTTGCTCACAAAAATTTAATGAAAGTGTGACACAGACACTAATGTAAGTAAGGTAACTGATACAAACTGATTACCTTTCAAATCCATCATTTCATCTATCAGCCAGATCGTATCTTCTATTGGTAGATGTTTCACTTCATCCATTCTTTTTAGAGCATCTTCAGCATCTTGTTTAGATTTGTCTCTCAACACTGAAAAACAATAGTAACAAAATGCAGGAGTGACTCCACAATCTAGATATCATACAGTAAAGCATATTAATGAACTTTAGCTTTAAAGCAGCACGCCTCCAGATTCATGCTTATTTTCATGACAATTTTGAAAATGTATTTGAATGTATAATATTGTGAAATAACCAAATGGAAGCAATTTGCACATTTTCAATGGCACTTACAACTCGCGTAAATTACCAAAAAGTTGTCAAAATATGCATAAATAGCCCTTACTGTTTAGTAAGGCAGTAGAAATATAGTTGTAAATATTGAAAAATCAGTCATTAATTGCACATAACATGTTAAATATTACTTGAATCTTTAAATCATTTTACTTTTCCTAAAATCGTAGTACAATTTTCTCAAGTTTGATTTTATTGAAATATTTGACTCATCTGGAGGAATGCAGATTTAACATAATTTGAGCCGTGTCACGACAAAACCAACATAATGCGTTTGCGACCAGCATGGATCCAGACCAGCCTGCGCATCCGCGCAGTCTGATCAGGATTCATGCTGTTCGCTTACAGACCTATAACAAGTAAAGAAACTGATAGCGAACAGCATGGATCCTGATCAGACTGCGCGGATGCGCAGGCTGGTCTGGATCTATGCTGGTCGCAAAACCATTATGTTGGTTTTGTCGTGACACGGCTCATTTAATGTACGAGAAGTGGCAGAAGAACTACACAATCTAGAAATCATACAGTATAGCATAATGAACTTTAGCTTTAACATAATTCAATTTACAAGGAGTGGCAAAAGAACACTTCAAGTACTATAAAGTTAATGCAATTCTTTTTATGATGACTAGTGAAATACTGAGTTTCACCTGTGAAATAAAACCCATATTACTCAAAGTATATCACTTACAGCGTGAGTGATATAGCTTTGCGGGAAAATTTATTGGAGTGTGTTACAATGTAATTTGTTTTTTATAAATTTTACATGATTATCAATTTTTGTATTTTGTTTTTTTGTGGCATATTTCTCTAATCAATTATCAAATGGAAGCAGCAAAATAATTTGTATTTTCTGTTACTATGCACTAAATAAATGGAATTTTTTTTTTTCATTAATAATGCTGTGTATCTAACACTGACATGAGAAAATATCTGCATTTTGCTAGTGCTATGCAATCATGAAACTACTGCAATTTTCTCATTCTAAACTTGTGTGTGAACAGCATATATATTCACCCATTAGTGTGAAGGAGAATTCAAACTAAAGTAGTCAGAGAAAGTGAAATGACTTAAACAAACATCACCAATTCTAAATTATTCAGGGGCGGCAAAATCAATTGTCCGTATTGCCAAGGTTGTCCCACAGCCTGTACGGACAAGTGAATTTTTCCCAGAATTAACTTTACAAATATCATACGGACAAGTAAAGAAATGCTTTAGGTAAAATGGACACGTACGTCAAAATCAAATTTTGCCAGCCCTGTTTGAATGAGGTCTAATTCTTACATGAGAGGGATCTAAGAATTAGAAAATGATTCAGTTTGCATTACCTTTAACATTGTTATTTGGGTTGTCACCACAGAAATCAAATAATAGCTTTTCTGGCTCTTCCATTTCTTCCATCCATTTCAAAAGTTCATCTCCTCTTTTGACTGGATCCTGAATAATCATATACACAATAATACATGTATATAAGTTACAATTTACAAATGGCTTGAAAAGTTGAGCTAACATTAAGCAAGAACTAGTCTGACTTCTCACTCCCTTTTTTTAAATTAAATATTCATATAGTTTGAAATCCCAAAGGGAAAGGGTTTGTAAAAATTTGGGGAAATTATTCAGATTCCTTTTTTGGCAGCTTTTTTTTTTTTTTAAATAGTTACTGTTTTAAAGTAAAAACTTCACTTTTAAAGTTTTTAAAGGGTTTTAATCGAGGGAAATTTTTTTTCAAAAAAGGGAAAATGATTTTGGGGGATTTTCCCGTAAATTCCCCCAACTAGTTAAAAAGGTTTTTTTAAATTTTCTTTTATTTTCTTTTTTTAAAATTTAATACACAAGGTTTTCAAAAGTGGGTGGGGGGGGTTAATTAGGGTGGGGGCGTTAAATCAGGATTTTACAGTATTTAGGGAAAAATCCCAGACATAAATTGGCAAAAATTATTTGAGATTTTGGTAAGCAGAAATTTCAAAAAGTTGAAATTCTAACATATGCATGACATTTTAGTTTTTTTAACATGTGTATGTTCATATAACCTGTGAACAAGTTAAAACAGTTTGATGTTTAGGGCTGCTGTCAGGAATTTTCTTTTTAACTTAGGGGAAAAAAAGGTTATTTTTGGATTGGGAATGCCCTTCAATGGGGCCTTATTTTGGCCCCTGGTGATAGAATGAAAATGCCCTGGGTACTACCACGGATTTATATTACAAGGATCAGACACTTTCGTTTAGCTTAAAGTCTCGTCGCGCACATGTGCGAAATCGGATAAAGGTGGACAGAATGAGATGGCGGAACGCGCGGGGTGCAAAATATGACAGATTTTCACAAGAGTATGTGGTGTTATTACAGCTCTGTGAAAAATTATACACATATGAATGTATTGATACAGTATTATTTTGTGCAGCTAAAGTATTAATATATGAAAATATGCCGATAGAACGCTGCAACCCTTAGTTAAAAAAGTACCTAATTTAATAAATATTCGCCTATTGTTTAGGCATACTCTCTACACTTTGAATCCCTTTTACTTCAAGCATAAATTATTACCGCGATTCAGATTAAGATAATTATTTTTTACATGGTTTAATGGTGGCATTGCAAAAAAGTGTTTCTTGATTGCTAAAAAACTTTTAAAGAAATTCATGTTTGAAATTTGTCTTTATTTCTGTGAATTATTTCCAAATGATTTGTACATTTTTTATTTGATTACCTGTAGATCTATATTAGTATAGATATAGTAAATATTCTACTTATAAGTGTATTTAATATATTTTCAGATCATTCTAGACAAGTGTTCATATATAGATGAACTCATTAGATTGGCAAGGAAGAAATATCTTGTTTATAAAGTAAATAGATTTGCATTGTATTTATATATATTCTCCTCAGAATCATTTTCTTACCACACATACCATGGACTGAAGTTAAAGACGGCGCACATACAAAATATACATTTATATTCTATCTGTTTTTGAAGATTGAGTGTTACAATTATCACATGTAACCTGGTAATGAAAGTTTGAAAATAAATTTTTTCAATTATCACTTGTTACCTGGTAATTACCCCCTTCAAAAGTAATCAAACTTGAAAGAAATTTAAGCGATGTGTAAAAAAATAATCAAAAGTTACTTTTATTTCGCAAACAAAATATACATTTATATTCTATCATTCTGTTTTTGAAGATTGAGTCTCAGTTACAATTATCACATGTAACCTGGTAATGAAAGTTTGAAAATAAAGTTTTTCAATTATCACTTATTACCTGTTAATTACCCCCCTTCAAAAGTAATTAAACTTGAAAGAAATTTAAGCGATGTGTAAAAAAATAATCAAAAGTTACTTTTATTTCGCAAAATACTGACTCAAACTGTAAAGATTTTTATTGTTTTTCTAGCATTACATTAAAAATTATCAGAATATTTTTTTACAGGCATTCAAATGAAAAGAATAATTAAAATATACGGATTAAAATGTACGAGTGACATTAAAAAGGCCCGAATCGAGAGAGCCACACAAGAGTACTTTACTGTTACGATGATTGTCTACTTCACTGCACCCACATTTGACAACAGATTTACAAAAAATAATAATGATATAAATGATGAATGAAATTTAAATATTCTATGAATATTGCAAAATTGACAATCTGGGCAATATTTTGAATTAAAAAAATGGATAAATTTTCTTCACGTGTTGAGAGAATTGTAAAGCCCGCAATACATTACCCTTAAAACAATTGGGCTTTAATAAATTTTACTACATAACCAAATAAATCTTAAATATTGCATGTTTGATCATCTGTGAATAACTTACATCAGCTTCTTTTTTATTTTGAAATTGAATTTATTATGTTACCGTAATAATAAATTTCAAACAGATTCTACCTGCTTTTTATATAAAAAAAGTAAATTTACTGTGGATTTTGTCAAGTTAATTTTTCAATCATCGTTGCGGACAGATAAACTGTACCTTTAAAAATAAATTAGATATTTGAATTAAACAAGTATTTTTCTTCAAAAAAAAACTTTAAATTTCCAAAATCGGTCATAAATGGAAAAGCTGTAAGGTATTTTGTAAAGTAGGTATCTGTTGCTAACAGGCATTTACACTGAGTGCCCGTAAATTATCGATTGATGTACCTTTATCGGATGCGCGACAAGATATTTAAGCATTTATATAGGGTTACCTGGGAGTGTCCGATTCCTGTAATATAAATCCGTGGTACTACCGTAGGTAGGAACTTTTTAATTTGTGATGTGACATTTTCATTGCTTAAATGTGAAACTCAAAAGTACATTAGATGTTATGTGTTTCCAGGAACTGAATTTTTCATACATGCCATATTTTTCTGGAAACTTTTCATGGGGGTCATTGAGATCAACAAGTGAATTATTTCTAAAATTTACATAGTAATATACAACATAGATAACCAGAATTCACAACTTGCAAATAATATGACAACAAAAACAGCACAAAATGTCAATGAACATACGAAAAGGGCAAACTTATTATAATAATTCCAAAATTTTCACATCCGAATTCACTACAACTTGATCGCGGAAACTAATGATTTTCGGAAAAAGCAGTGTTTTTTTACTAACCTCTATAGCCGCAATATCTGGCCTTTTACTTTGTGCATATTGCATATAACTCGAAAACAGTTTGTCTGCATCTTTCCTTTGATTAGCCTGCATTTTAAGGCAGCGTCTAGCGAAATTTCGTTTTCGTGCAAAACCTTGATAAAGGCCGTGTGGTCAGTCCGGTAAGAAAAGCTAAACTCTGTCAATTTAATTACCGGTACGCCAAGAAGCTGATGTTTCTAATCTGATGCAAAATGTTCTGGTGCTAATCAAGGAAATGAATAATGAGAAGGAAAAACTGTGAAGAAAAGATATAGATATCTAAATCTAAAATAAAATAAGTTTATAAAATACCATATATTGGATTATATTTTTATTTACTTTTCTTTACGTTCTATAAAAGTCATATCTGCGGAGCACAGAATATACCAAATATGACTCGTTACTAAAACTTACTTTCATTTTTTTGTTGTATTTTTTATGTCACATAAGTCATAAAGTTTAAATAATAATACATGCAATAATATCGTTAAATGACGCCCGTAAATGAAAAAGATACAAGTTATATTCGTTGCATGTTCTAAAAGTCATATACTTGGCGAAAGAAGATATTGGGATATGGGAAGCTAAAAGGGAAACACAGTGAAGCCAACGTTTGTCCTTGAAGAGAATGGAAACTTGAAAAGTGCAGAATCTAAAAATGGCAAATACAGTGTAAAAAGGTCCCCAAATAGGTCCTTAGGAAAGGTATACTATGGATAACTTCAAAATCAATAGTCGAACGACAAAGTTAATATCTTAAGCAACTATTATACTCAGTTAGAAAGAGAACCAACTTTTAAAAAAGAAACGTGTTTCCTACTTCATGAAGAAGTTTGATCCACCTTACGTGGGCGTTGCATTTTATGAATACCAGGTAAATTATTCTATTGAATCTCAACCTCATGGTAATGCACGGCTGGAACAAACGTTCATACGAACAAGTCCAAAGACGATGGGCAAGCTAAAACAGCTGAATGAGAATGACAAACCAAAACAAGTTTTCGATCGTTTGAAGAAAGACGATTCAACGGATTGCGCTCGTGATTTTAAAGTTATGAAGAATGTAAAATGTCATAGTAAACAGAAAGACCGGCAAACCAGCAAATGCAATCAATCTGACAACATAGCTGATGAATTGCTAGATAATCACTGACGGGATAATAATATAGAATTCAACTTTTAATATACATTTAACTAATTCTATTTGCACAATAGTTGCGTTGGTGTGTCTTTGGTGAAAGTCTTGGGGGTAGTCTGGGGTGGGGTGTCTTAGGGGTAATTAGATCGACCCTCATGAGAGGACGTTTACCAGAAGATACATATTTCTCTCATGTGCAATTGATCTCGACACTCATGGTTGTTAATTTTTCGGTCTGAAGTTCAGCGACCCATGTAAATGCCCCCTTTACTCAATTTCTCTAGTGTTCGGAACAAAGCGGCGATATTTTCTGACCTTTGATGTTCCACAGACACCTTAATAAATAACATATTGTCATCATTTAGAGCGTTGCCACCACTGATTATTACACGCGTATGTTATAAGAGATCCGATCACTCTTAAGTGCTGGATTTGAGCTAACAAAAAAAATTTCACTGCACCATATTTAAACGTACAAGAAACATAAAAATCTGATAATAAAATACAATAGCGAATTTACTACCTAGAATGATGACAGATATTTCTTTGAAACAATGGATACTTCTATTTATGTGCAAGCGATCCGACACTCATGGTTTAAACCGAAGAAAAACACCCCATGTAAAAGGCCCAATTCTACACGGTTCCGAGCATTGCAAAATCTTTTACCTAGTCAATCTTGATACGCCCGCCATCTGTATTGACAGTTCTCGACTCTACATCCTAGGTTTTGCACACGACTGTTGTACAAACGATGGTGATTTATTCATCTTTCTACATGCAAAAGATCCAATCATTCAATACGACGGATTGAAATCCAATAGGTCGCCGCGCCACAAAACTGTACAAAACAATTTAAAATCCTGTAATACCATTTTCCGTTCTACTGTCACCTCTATGTAAACTTTGGAACCCGTAGATCCTACTTGTTCAATAACACCTAATTATAAGGATCAATCTTGTGACGACATTGTTCACCGTTTTCGCAAGATGGTGATGGAGTGCTTAATTTTTGAAATGTCTGAACGTTTCAGGTTTATGTTTATGCTCAAACTTAGGGCTTTATTTTTGATTGCTTTTTTTATTTAACGTTTATGTATCATTTAATTGGGGTGTACTGTATTAATTCATTAATGAACCAATACGCACATGTCAGCACTGCCTTTATATAAATAAGACTCAGATAAATCAGATTCTTTGCACAATTACTGGTTAGCCTTCCCTACGGCATTGACTTTACACAGTACTGCCCCAGTGTATTATTATGAAAATAATGGAATTTCCATGTGGTTACGATTCACCTTTATCTTTTTTCACAAAATCGCGCAGATCTAAACATTGAACAGATATTTGTTAAGGTGCCCATCTGCACAGATATAGTTGTACACAACTCATTTGCAGCCATTTTATACTTTGGTAAAACCTCGCTTGTGTAAAGTCTTGTGGTTTCGTTTCATCACTGAGTATACTACACTCAGAGGCACTTCGTTATATATGACCCGACACTAAATTTTTCTATAAAAATATGTTATTTGTGGAAGGATTTTGTTCAAATTTTAACCATACAAAATTGAACATATCATACTCACAACTTAAACTTTTATTTACCATTCATCGATACGAATGCGAAAATAGAAAAAAAAATAACAAAACAATTAAATAGGCTACTACAGAGACTGTTCATTCTGTTAAGATATTAGAAGCCATTCTGTGATTTTCATTTTGCCGTAGCATATTTATTTTGGTATTTTCTCTTTGTCAATATATTGTAAATAAAGTAGTGAGTATGCATGATTGTTTCATTTTGTATGGTCCAAAGTTGAACAAAATCTGTTCACAAATAAAAATTTATACCGGAAAATGTATGTGTCGGGTTATAAGTGTCTCTGAGTGTTCACTTATATAAACTTACTTTTTAGATACGAAAAAAGAATTAAAACGAACAACCTTTTCTTCTTGAAATGTATTAGAAAACTTATCAAAAAAATATTTACAACAAACACAGTAAAATTTATTTAACTATTGATTTTCCCTTAACCAGGCCTGCACTTAACATGTTCACAGTAGTCATACCACGTGGTATATTACGTCATTTTAACATGCGTCACATTTTTGACTAAGATACTTTTTTAATAATAAATGAATCGTTACGATTCTTTTGTAAAATGTACATTATTCCATAACATTTGGGAAACCTGTGCTTTTCGAATAACGAATAAAGCGGCTAAATATTTTTAAGCTTATAAAGGAAGCATCATTTTTATATATCCACAAATATAAAGGTAACCTAGTTCGAAACCTGAAATATTAAGTTTGAAATATGTTACATTCAATCAAAAACGGTAAATACATCTGAAATTATTAGAAATACAAAATATGCCCATTTAAGCATGTTTTATTTACATTTATTTACTTTATTCTTGCATCTCCAATAAAATAATCATTTAGTCAGGAGTATACTTAAACTTAAGTGCGAATATTATCAAAAACAAGATTTACAAGCTCACACGCACATCGATTCCATTCGTTTTCAAATAGTTAAGAAAGAACATTAGCCTTGCTTCATAAATGTAGAAAAGCTGCAAGAATTTCGGTTTAATGTTAATATGTATATCGCATTATTTTATATATTTTATGATATATTTTCCCAGCGCCGTATAACTTTTGTGCTGTTTCACTATCTGAAATTTAACATTTTTTTTTTTTTTTTTTTTTTTGGGGGGGGGGGGGGGGCTTAGCCAAACAACATTGTCATCCTCTAAGTATAATTACACTCTACATAGTCAGCTATCTTGTACTTAGCCTAACAACAATTTCATACTCCGCGTATAATAGGAATCAATATGGTCAATCTTTAAATTTTCCGATCCGTTAAATAAACAGAAATGCATTCCAATTCAAAGTTTAACATGGATAAACGTAAAATTAGTCACTATCGGTCTCCTCTGTTTCTGTTGAGCAGTATCCAGTGTATCTTACAATAGTACCGGCCAGCTCTTTCCGAAATCTTTTCTGTTTAAACTTTTCTCCATATCTTCGGCACATGGATTTCATAATTTGCGGCAATGCACACACAAAAAGAGCCGTCCCTACATGCATAACAACATGAAGTTCACGGAATCCATCAGTTTCCGCAAGGGTATTTATGGAAAGTCCTAAGATGGTTATAATCACGCCAACTTTCAATACTGACAAAAACACTTGCATCCTTCTTGGAGAATGGTTTTCAATGACGTGTTCAAAAAGTGATTCCTTGATTGCTTTGTAATCACCACTTTTTACAACAAGTTTCTCAGTGTCGTTAGCTCTCTGCAATGCTTCACATGTTATAACAGTATCCTTAAGAAGTCGTTGATACACGAAGGAAAATTCTTGAATGCTTTGCCAGATGTAGTAAATGACAGTGAATGTGAAAATGAGATAACCGTAAGATACTTTAGGGTAGACAACGATACCGGTAAATGTAAACACAACGACCCTGGTGATAAACAGACACGCATCAAAGAAAATTGTAGCAAACATAAAAAGAAAATACGTAACAGATATTATCAGAATAATGCTTAGTAAAAAGATCACTATCCTTGATGAAATTTTTCCATTACCCACAGTAGCCCAAAGCCTTCCACAGTATGCTTTAATGATAATAAGGGCAAATGAATTGATTGGGTAACCATATAAAGCAATGCAGAGGACGATTTCGATGATGCATACCATAGCAAAAACTGGAATCAATGGAAGGCAAACCTTTGAAGAAAACCACGTCTTCCAACGATCATATTGAACATTTAGTACATGTTTCCAAAACTTAATATTAATCAGCATAAAGAACTGAGCAAGGAGCACGCTATATATCTTGAAATACCCATGTCTTCGTCTTATGCTGAACGAACCATACATCTCAATCGATCGGAGTTGTAGACATAAAGGTGAATATGTCTCGTCACTGTAATTGTGTTGAAGACCCTTCAAGAGAAAATCCGATACGGAGTTTGGAATTACCAACAACACACATGTGATGAGAACATAAGCACCGACCGCCACAAAAGGTCCGCCTAAATAGGGCATGAAATTAATCTTACTTTCCTTATAACCGGCTAACATGGACCGGAATCCCATTGGTACCCCCTTCTGCACGCTTGTACTTACATATGAATTTAAGTAAAAGTAATCAAGCAAAACTTGCAACCCAATAAACCCTAAACTGAGACAAGGTAAAAAAATCCTCCAGAATCTTTTCAAAATTATTTGAAAAGAATTTGAGACCTTTGTATACATAATTGTGCCACATGTCTTCATTGGTAGACATAAAGTTTTTAGTAAAGTCACATGATGATTATCGTCCAATAGAACAAGCCGATCCATTGTAGAAATAGTATTTTCTCCGGTGAATTGTTCCACATTTTGTATTACTCCTTTTAGATGACCTCTGCCTTCGTCTGCTAATGCATGCAAAATGTATAGAATGAAAACAGGACAAAATCCAAATAAAATGATAGATACTAAAGTTGGAAGCACCCAGTTAACTGGATCGTATCTAAACTCTTCCTCTGTATAACTCACTATTCGCTTTTGCAAAGTCGTGTTATAATAGTAATGATTGCAACTGTACTTCACTGCTTCTATTGGGCAAATTATATGTTTGCAAAGCATATAAATGAAATGGGGCTCGATGTAAACTCGCGATTTGTAGCAGTAAAAGCTGGGTCCATATTTTTGAGAAAAGTCTAACATTTCGACTGTAAGTTTTGACAAGGCGTTGCTGATAGCATAGTCTGATTCTGTCTGACCAACTTGTAAATTTGAACAATTTCCGGAAACAGGTTCTAAAACCATTTTCATCGGATCACTAATGACGTAATTAGATAATAATCCCAGCGACCATATTCTGAATTCAATTGGCCAATTTAAAATTTCGAGTCCGCCTTCCTTCCCATAAAAGGTCCATACCCAAATATTTTCACCAACAATAAGTTTACTGCCTTTAATATTCGCCCCAGAGCTTTGTACAAGATCTAAAAATACGAAGTTTGCTTCCTGATAATAAACAAAATGTCTGAACTTGTTTATTGAGGATTTCTTCAACTTCAAAGTACATATTGTATCTTCTTTGTTCTTCCCGAGGACCACATCAAGCAGTGATTTGTTATTGCTATAAATCGAATCAATATCTTTCATAGAAGCATATGGACCCTTACTGTAATTTCTTGCTGGCGGATAAAACTTTATAGTTTTATTCCTGGATGTTTTGGTTGTTATGAAATTCATATGTATCTCTGAGCAAATGCATACGGATAGAATCACGGTTGATAACACGGCATTCATGATGAAAGTGGTCTGAAAAAATAAAATATGAATAAGAAACAAGTTAATACATAAATATATAAATGTGCAGCATATGTAAATAAATGTTCACAAAACATCTCGTTCATTTCTCGATGCTTGATATTGTAATAACAGCATTCCTTCTAAGTGTAAAAGTTCCATGTCACAACCCTTCCTTGAACTGGGGTCATTTCAACTAAAATTAGTGTACAACATCTAATAGAAACCTAAACTTAAATGCTAGGTCAAACACAGTATATTCTTAAATTTGACAGAGTTATCTTATTCTGTATGACGACCGTCTTTTAACACAGTAAAAATAAATAAGGTAACGGTAACCGAAAACCTAAAATTCAAAATGTAGAAAATGTTATCGACCCCGAGCGACAATAATCCATATCCTCTAATAAAAATAGTTAGATTTCTCATAAAAATGATCAATAACTCAGGTATAAGTAAAAAGGGTCTGGATGAAAAAGTTACTACAAAAAATGACTGAGCAATACGATCTGTGAACAGAAAATTTCATTTTAAAAATTACCGATGATAGCCAAAATTTTCAAATACTCATAAATGAAAAAAAAAGATTTCTAGTTGGCAAACAACATATTATAGGAAAATATCCCGATTGGGAGAAGGTAGGGTCTTCATTGTGTTTCCAGCAGTTTTTTGTTTGTTTGTTTGTTTGGTTTTTTTTGTTTTTTTTTTGTTTTTTTTTTGTTTCCTTTTAGGGATTTTAACACAATGTACAAAGTTTGCAATGATATAGGTTATTTTATCGCCCCGTCTGACTGAATAGGGAGAGCAAAGGGTTGGTTCAGTTATCGGAACAGCCGGAAAGGTGGATCAAACGCCGAGATATATTCAAAACAGTCTGTTGAAGTCAGCGTAAAAAACAAAAAACAAACAAACAAAAAAAAAAACAAAAAAAACAATAAATTAAAATAACATCTACAAATATCCAAAAATTCCCAAAAATTCTTAATCTTGGGTGACTATCCAAATGTGACCTCATTTCTGGTTTGACAGTAAATTTCATCCTTAAGCAACTTAAAAAAGTTATAACAAAACGAAACAAGTTCTACAAGTAATGACCACATTTCAAGTTTATAATTATATACTCTACTTTTTACGTTCAAGCTGTGTTTATTTCTCAACAAGCTATCTGTGACCATAATTCAAGTTGTTTGATTTATTATAGATATGAACATGATAGTGAAAATTGAACACAATATAATTAAATATCAATCATTTTCCAAATTTTATCAAAATGACTTTCTTTCTTTGGCTTTGTTTTAATTGATACTAACAATTCGTTTATGTATTTTATGATACATTAGATAATGTAATTTATCTGAACAGGCACCAATCAACGAAAAACAAGTTAAACACGCAAATCAGTCTGGTCCACTGATGACAATTAAAAGTGTCAATCGAGAAGGGATAATTGAAACAAAAGATCGATCATTTTTAATAAAACGCGACTATATATAGTCGATATTCATTGTGAAGAAGTATCTAATATACGTGTAGACAAATATGGTTTGCCAAAAAAGCTTACTTGTATCCTACATGTTTACCGGACAATCAGTTAAAGCTATTCTTGCTGAATAGTGCTTTTATTTTTACTTTGATTCAAAAAATCATCCGGTCTGAATCATACACACACTTTCTTTTTCAAAGTAAATAACTACAAAACCACTATCAGGTAAATATGGTTGATTCAGTTCTTTATTTACTATCATGCTCTTTTGTTTACTAGTTCTTTCATGACCTGGTCATGCGGGGGAATAATCTGTTCTGGGCATGTCCGAATAAAGCGGCCCTAAACGGGTTATTTAAGATAGGTTTTACTTTTAATTCTTCTCCACGTTATCTCAGGAGACAATCGTAACATATTATAATGATAAAAAGTAATTTTAAATTTAGTCCATAAAGTATCTCGTTGTTGTCTTTAACAAAGAAATGCACATTAAAAACATATAAGGAAACGGGTTACGCCTATGGGAGGACTCTAAAATTGTAAATAAAATAGATTTTATGGCTTTTGTAACATGCTACATGATGACCAAAAGAAAACTGTATGACAAAGAACAGAATTCCATTTATATATCAAAATGTTTTATATGTTTAAGATTCATTAAGAATCAATACGTTAATTGAGTTAATAGTGTTAATTTCAATTACACCCCATATATTGGCCTCTCCGTAACAAGCATGGCTGCAGTGTCTTGTTTTAGTGACATACAGTTGTTTTTCTTTTCAATATCTTAACCTTGCCTTTCGATAGTTGTAGTTTCCTTGCTGATTATTTACACAGACACTTGGGGTTTGGAGCTCAAAACGCCTTTAAAATCCAAATAAAGTGCATATTTGTCAATCCCAGCACGTGTACTGATCATATTTATCAAAAAATCTGAATATAAGCCGTTTTGAAAAAAAATCATATTTCAACATCTATAATAATACACAAGATAAAAATGTTCGCCGGAAAAAATCCGCACCCCTACCGTCATAATCACCATGTATTTTATTCCATTTCCAATATTTTCACATAATCCTTTGGTCCATCGACACAGAAGATATAATTCTTCACGATGATGGTCAACTTTAAACTTCAACGGTAATATTAACAACGCAACAGCCGAAATAAACATCAAAATTATCGCCGTTTTCCTCCAACTACAAAATCTTTCGATAAATTCAATGGACCAGACGGCTATGAACGAAGCTATCCGATTATGTGGTTCCCAAACTTAAAAGCGCAGCGCATTTTGTACACGGCAAAGCTGGGTCCGCATAATCGGATAGCTTCGTTCATAGCCGTCTGGTCCATTGAATTTATCGAAAGATTTTGTAGTTGGAGGAAAACGGCATTAATGTTGATGTTTATTTCGGCTGTTGCGTTGTTTATATTACCGTTGAAGTTTAAAATTGACCATCATCGTGAAGAATTAAATATTTTGTGTCGATGGACCAAAGGATTATGTGAAATTATTGGAAATGGAATAAAATACATGGTGATTATGACGGTAGGGGTGAGGATTTTTTCCGGCGAACATTTTTATCTTGTGTATTATTATAGATCTTGTGTATTATTATAGATGTTGAAATATGATTTTTTTTCAAAACGGCTTACATTAAGATTTTTTTGATATATATGATCAGTACATGTGCTGGGATTGACAAATATGCATTTTATTTGGATTTTAAAGGCGTTTTGAGCTCCAAACCCCAAGTGTCTGTGATTATTTAAAGATTAATTTCAATTCAGGACTTAAAAAATTGAAACGCAATGTCCGGTAAATTGTGCTGTCTATGCGATTTTTTTCTCTCTTATCATGCCTTACTTTAAAGTCACATTTCTACGGTCAAATATTTAATTTCATGTTTGTTAATTTAAAAGTATTGTTTACTTGTATTAAGAACCCAAAATTATTTTGGTAAAATTCCATTCTTTTTTATTGTTTTAAATAAAAGTTACTATATATATATGAACGAGTCTTATTTTACTATTAAAATATTGTGATGTTGAAGTTCACCACGATAATCATCAATTTTCTACAAAAGCATAATAAATGTTGGTATTTTTTCAATGTGTTGAAAAAAGTTCGGGTTTTTAAATCTGTTTGAAAAGAAAGATATTCAAAATTACCTTCTTATTTTTTCCGCCTAAAATTTCTAAATATATAAACGACACGTTGCCTCCCAAATGCTTAATAATTTTGGGTGTACTGAAATTACACATTCCGCATTAACGAGACCAAACCATGCATGTAAAATTAATGACAGACGTATGGCTTTTATCTAAACTAAACGTTTATCATTTCTTTGGAAAATACATTCATGACATTCAGGTTTCAAATTACTAAATATTCGAATGAAATAATTTAATTTCGATTGAATTATTAATTGATGTACTAAAACAATATATCCCGTCATCATAACAAAACCAAAATGCAATATCATTGGATGAAAATACACATGTCTGCTTATATTGGAAGTACATACGACAATGTTAAAATGTTTAAAAAAAAGGTACAAAAAACATTGATAGGATAATATGAAACGCTGACGTGAACGCAGTCATCACGTTATGCCTGCGCTGATGAGTTAAATAAATTAAAACTTACGAACAATATATCTATCGTCGGCTGAACCAGAAGGGAGCGGTGTAAGGGAGTCCCCTGGAAAATTACTACAATGTCAAACCCCATCTGGCATATGCACTTCCTCTGATCAAAAGTTTTTTTCAGAATCTATGCCTGATGAAAATTTGACTGCATCATGCAAAATATGATAGAATTTACAATTGTTATTGCCAAATAATGCTCTTCAAAAACTATTGATATTGGCCACTTTTGGTTAAGTGTTTATAAATGCATTTTGCTTATTTGTTTAAAGCAGTTACAATGTCACCATATAGGAGTGTTTAAACAAGTAATATACTTATAACAATCACTTTTGACTTTCCTTTTTACAGAAAGCTTCAGTTAGAACATGAAACCCCATGCTGCTTTTGGAAACTGACTATTGAACGCTCTTTTTTATCACACTTAAAAAAAAAATACAATTGTACATCAAAAAATTCAAGGGTTCGCTGTTGTTAAGTGTTTCTTTTTACAATCAAACGTAATGTACTTAAAACTGATACTTGAAAACAGTCTGGGGTCAATGGGAAGTAAATCAAATCGTGAATCAGTTTGTTAATATAAGAATCAAATAATTGTTATAATAACAATTGATTATAATAATTAATAATGAAATCTTTTTTTTCAAGAATGAGAATATGAAGATGTGTATAGAACATGACATTCTATAAGTTTAATGGAAAGAATATTTTCTTGTGGCATTTAATACTGATAATAATAATAGCAAAAAAAATCTGGAAAAAAGTGCGATCCCTCGGAAGCATTAATCACAACAAAATTACATGAAAATTACAGACTCGGTTTGATTGAGTATGTACATGAGGGATAATGAAAATGTGCAACATCCCTCACGCCCCCAGCACCGGTTTAAGCGCTACTCAATTTTCAACACTGAAAAGTGTTGGGACCAATCATCCCGAAGGACCAGAAAAATATAATAACACTGAAGGGAAGTACGGTGCATCTCTTTATAGTTGTCACACAGCACTTGAAACCTGCTGTTGTGAAGAAAAGGTTTGATCCTTCGGAAGCATTAATCACAACAAAATTACATGAAAATTGCAAACTCGGTTTGGTTGATAGATAATAGATAATAAGAGATAAAAACAACTTATTAAAAACATAAGCAGTACAAGAAATCATATGCCAGCATACACTTACACATTGATATCTTTTAATAAATACTCACATGTTATTAAAACCTTCAGTTTTAGTCACTATATTAAAGCCATTTATGATTTTGACAAAGAGGTTTTAAAGAAATCGTGTCCGGATATAGTGCATAAGTATATGATGAGCGACCTTTATAAGATTAAAGTTGGTCTGTTAATATTACTATCTACACGTAAACGCCCTCATTACATATTGTCATGACATTCCTAAAATAAACACTCTTTTCGGCGGGGTATTTTCCCGTTAAAATTGAGTCAATATAAAACTGCAGAAAACCAAACTTGAAAATCAATTTGAATGAAGTAAGTGTAAATGTACATCTCAAAGGCGTAACAAATTAAATCGATTAAAAAAATAAAAATAAAAATGCTTATTGTTGAGTACGCCTAGATCGATATAGCATTAGAATATATATATATATATATATATATATATATATATATATATATATATATATATATATATATATATATATATATATATATATATATATATATATATATATATATATATATATATATATATATATATATATATATATATGAAAGCAAGACCATGTTGCTTAGATTTCAACCGTATTTTTTATAACATGCCATAAATCATATATTAACATTTAAGTGCTTGACAGAGCTACATGTATTATAAAGCTCCGAAAAAATGAAACTGACAATTAAAACACTTACGTGTACAAACATGCCCAGGTAAATATAAATCCAGACCTCATGCCTTACTGATATGAATAATTTTTTCGAGTACCCTTAAACAAACGTCATACTTGTTATCGTCTGCATGAACGACAAACGTGAAATTATCTTCCTTGTTCGTTTTCGACATGAGGCGCTTTATTAAACACTTTTTACGCTGCAATGTTATGTAGGTGCAACAAGATAATACAATGACACAGACACCCCTTTCTTCCCTTTATTCATCACATGTAATAAAATAAAGTAATCACGATGAAAGTATCATAGAAAATAATTATTATGTTATTGTATATGTTCAAGAATAAGGGGAAAATGTGCACAGTTATCTTTTCAGAACAGTAGATTTACAAGAACTTTAACAGTCATGGTCATTTCTAATGCAATATGATAAAACATTATTGATTAACACACACCAAATATTAAATATTCAACCAGTTTCAAGGAGCGTCAAAAAACGGGGAATCAACGCGTTCACTCAAATATAAATATAAAAAAAAACCCTTATCAATGAAATTATTAACAACATGACCTTTTGGTATACACAAATGAAAAATTACCATTCTTTCATCAGTATCTGTTTTTGGAACAAAATTTAATTGAGAGATCTTTAAACCCGAAGAAAAGGGATTCTTGTTAACGGACCTAAAATGCAAGCAGCATCAATTACTTTTCCCAGATATATAGGATAGCCATTAGCTCCAAAATGATTCTTGTATGTTCAAGTATCATATGGATCATGATGAAAAACTTTATCTACGAAACCAATGGGAAAACCATATTTCAAAAGATCACAAACTATTAAATTCCTTCAATCCGAACACGACATACACCTCAAAAATTCGAAGATTTAGTTTCCTCACCTCTCAATGTTTGAACGTCTTCTTTTTTCTGTGCAATTTGAATTTGTCTCCTCAATAATTCTGCCTCGGACAACTATTCCATTTGCATTCTTTCCACCCGACGTAAACTTGTCAAAAGTTTCTCATCTCCAGGATATCTGGCTCATCCCAACCCCCTACTTTATTATTGTCAGAATTCTCTTCCTTGTCTTGAAGACATGCTTCAGACGTATGCACTTTGACAACGCCCAAGCTGAATCCACTTCTCCAACAATTTGAAGTCAGTTATGAGCTCTTGAGTCAAAAACGATTCCTCTCCCTCGTCTCCGACACTCCGATTTTTTTTATTTCTCTCCATACATAAGTTTTCAAGCGGAAACAGTTTTTACGTGCAGGAAAACTATGACCTTGACCTTTATGCACTGGTGCCCAAAAACAATACAGGATTTCTTCTTCATGAGGATGATCATCCAAAGTGACAACAACATGGACCAATTTGTTTTCTAGTTGTTGAGTTGAAAATGTTTTTAAAGTTCAAATCACATGGACATTGACTTTCAGCCATTTTTGCATCAAAATGCTAAAAGGAAAAAAGCCAAAAGTTCTAAATGTGACGGAAACAAACAAGGGATTGTATATGAATACTGTTATATGTTAACCAAAATTTTCACTTTCTACGTATTTGAACATTTGAGCAGTTATTAAATATTAACTGAGAAAATGTTTAGTTTTTTTCCATGTTCGAAATGTTTAAACGTAATGCGCTTGTGATAGTTTTATTGACACGCCAGACAAGCCCAAGGTTGTAGCAACGTAAAAAAATTTAACGAGCGGAATGCTTTCATTACTAGCAAGCTTCTCAAACAGGGCTGCCGCTCTCATAAATTACGGAAATATTTTACAAACATTTTACACTAGTAATATTGATTTAATTTAAAAATTGCGACAAGGGATTAGCCTGCCTTATTTTTATGGTAATGTGATTAACAGACTTTGTAAGACCTTGGGTCATGGTAATTTGTCTGCTGTCTTTACTAAAATTATTAAACGTTTTATTAAAAGAGGTTATGACCCTACTATTTTAGGACATACCACATACTTAGTACAGTTGCACACTACGCTTTCCTCGTTTGATTACATCTGACGACCAAGTTGGAGACTATGATTGACAGTTCTTATAGCCCTGCGAGACTAAATTGTCTAAATGTTCGATTTTATTGTTGCTCTGTCTTCCTTTAAGACATTGAGTACTTTTGTTAGGTCACTGGGTTTATTTTTATATGTTTCTACATGATTATTTCTGTGTTTTACTTATTTCACCTTTTGTAAATATAACAAGTGTTAGAATGTGGCGGGGATTAATTTTATTTGCATTATCTCCTTTAAAAGGAACATGGTGGAGCTAAGGGTGAGGTTTGGTGCACCATTAACCGGTTTAAATTCCCCCAGCAGTGCTAAGGCTGCTGACTGTACCAAAGCGGCGCCCCTCTGTCTTTCTCAAATGTATGTCTTAATTGTTGTTTTGTGTCCTTTCTTGTTATCTACGGTAAGTATTTTTCCTTTTGTCCATAATTTTATTTTATTTCTGCACCCCTTCCCACACCCTTAAGTGCTTGACCCTATGCCCCTTTGCTTTGTGGGCCAAACCATGAATCGTCTTCTTTAGTTTCCTTGTCGGTTATTATATATTATTTCCTTTGGTTTATTATTTAAGTGTTTATCCTGTCCGTGTTTTGCCATGTACCCTGTCCTGTTTTTGTATTCGGTCCACATAAAACTATAGTAAATTACAAATAACAAGAACCGGTTGAACCGGGTGATGCTCACCGAGAGGGTTTTGGACACAGGAAAGTATGAAAAAATGAACAATGGGGAAAAACTTTAAAATTAGGCAAGGCGGAGTTATGTTTTTGCACTGCACTTCTTTTCAATGAGATTTATCTATCTATAAAGTTTCCTGATGATATCTCTTATAGTTTCAGAGCTATGTCCCGGATAAAATTCAAAGTGTAAAAATAAACAAAGGGGAATGATTCAAAAATTAGGTAAAGGCAGAGTTACGGTTCTTGTGCACTGCACACCTTCTCAATGAGATCTATCTACCTACAAAGTTTCATGTTGATACCTCTTGTTGTTTCAAAGTTATTTCCCGGACAAGAAAAGCGGACGGACGGACGGACAAGGCGGCGACTATATGTTCCCCGAAATTTTCGGGGAACATAAAAATAATAATTTGATGAGGCAATATACATGCAACCTGGAATGCCTTAGTGAGGCATGCAGGTATACAAGAAATTACTTCTCTAATTGGATTTCGGAGTACCTAAATATTAGTTTTCAAATCGATGTAAATACAAAGAACAAAGAAACAAGAAAGCTTTATTTCAAACAAAATGAAAATAAAAGGATTCAAAAACTATACTCAAAATTAATTTTCAATGTCATTCATATCTAAACCTATACAATAATTAAGGAGTATGACGTTCTTTGTACAATGTACACGTATATAACATAAACAAAAGGATTAGGGAGATCCCTCGGAAGCAATAAAAGCAACATAATTATATGAAAACTGATGAGTTGCGTTGATTGAGTCTGTTCATGAGAGAAAAATGAAACATCTCTCAGGTACCCGAGCACCGGTTTAGGCGGTATTAAATCTTCAACAGTGTATATGATAAATCGTGTGTGATACTATTCTTTGTGATATTTTCTGCGATATTTTCCGTCATGTATTATCGTTGCCTCCCATGCCACCTACACTGAAGGAGCAGTGTGCATGTCATGATTTTTTTGATCTCATGTATGTGTTATGTTATGCTTCACTCCATGTGTTACATCACCATTTATGTACATTATGCCAAAATAACTCTTATCTTAACATCTGATGTGCTGGAATCAATGATCTCGCTGAACCATCAGGAAAAAAAACAGTGAAGAAAAAATATGCAACACCCTAGTCTTTTATTCTGTAAAAAAATACTGAGATTTAGTTACGAGCAATAAGTTCAACAATCAGACAATACTTTAAACAGGAAGTCTAAAATATGTTTATGATTCTGTAACTGAAAAAGCAGACTGATACATGCATAAATAGATGTGTGGGAACTAAATCTCATCTTACATACTATAGATTTTTATGACAATTATCATATTCATTAACAGAATTATCATATTCATTAACAGAGAATTTTTTACAAACACATTCGTTACTTTTTGACTTCATATATCCTGTAGCAAAAATGTAATTTTCTTAAAATTAACAAAGATTTTTATCGTGGTGCCATGACAAAAATGATATTTAAGCAAAAGCGACAATCTTATTGTTAACAACAAATGATACTTCTAACAGTTACATATTTTATGTATGTACAATATCATAAATAACGTTCATTACAAACACAATTTCTAACAGAATAAAATTAATTGACATTAAGCTAAGGCATCCCTCAATTAAAATGAGCTATAATAGATTCATGCCACAAATACTGTACTTATCATGAAATCGTTTTCAAGAGTTCTTTTTTTTTTATTATTTATTTTTTTATATAAATTTATAAATGCCAATAGTAATTATTATTTGATTTTTTGTACTTGTCAGTTATAAGAAAGAAATGACGAATGACATTGATAATTCACCCATCTATATAATAGCGTATATTAATATGTCAGCTTTTTCTTCTGTTGAAGGGTTTTAGAGCTTTAGCATTAGTATAAAACTATAGTCTATAGTATTAGAATAAAACTGGTGTAACTATATACAAAGTATTGTGTGAATAAAGTAAAACCTTTCACTAATCTAAATATTTTATAACCATTCACATGACTTAAATATGCCTTAACCAAACCCAAAATCAGTATCAATTAACTTAAAACGATGAATCACTAAAATGTCAAAAACATCAATCAGTGATCATACATTTTAATCCCTGTGCTCTTTGGATAAATGCAAACAAAACACATCATTTCTATACGTATAAATCCAACAGAAAATTAGTGTTGATGCTTTCAAAAATTTACTTTTAATTCATACAGTTGTTGAATTGTTCAAATTCATTAAGAAATGAATGTGTACGAGTATTTGTATTGCATCGTATAAACTACAGTTATGACATTCGCTTCAGGACAGAATTGCATTTACATTGGCAAGCAAAGCTTCCAGGCCGCCTTTGGGTGTATTTGTCGCAGTACATTCAATGTATTTTTCAATAAGATGAATAATTTCAAAATATTGATATCAATGTAAAAGATAGCAATTTCTTTCCTTGTGACATAGTGGTATAACTAGAAATACTGTTTCCAACGTTTATTCCCTTGTATTACAGATATAACTTGTCTCCATTTGAATGTATGCCAATAATAGGTACATTATCTTTGATTGCTTTTAAATTGTTCTACCAATTACTAATTTTAACCAAATCGGAAAACAGGAAGTGGATGAGCGACAGACCTGAAATCGAATCCTACAATATGGGACTACTAGTTAATGCTGTATGCCAAATATCAAGATCAAAGACCACATGTCAATGTTGTATACCAAATATCAAAAGGTTGTGATAAGTATATATATATATAACGTAGTTGCTGAGAAAAATGGTTATGAAAATTTCCTACTATTCACCATTAATGTTGAAAATTTTAACATAGTCGGTAAACTGGAAGTGGATTAGCGACAGACCTGAAATCAATTCCTACGGTATGGGACCATGTGTTGATACTGTATACCAAATATCAAGAAAACTGTTATAAATAGTTGCTGAGAAAACTGTTACAAAAATATTTTCCCCGCCAGCCAATCCGCCCGCCCGCCGCCCAACATTCACCATTTTATAACCCGAGTTTGCACCTTTGCAACCCGGCCAAAAATGAATCTCTAAAGAAAGCCCAAAGTGGCAAAATTGAAAATGTTGCAGGCTCGGTTTGATTGAGCCTGTCCATGGACGGTACTGTCACGTGCAAACTACCGTCCACGCCCCCTAGCACCGGCTTAAGCAGAATTCAACATCCAAAAATGAAATGGTAAAATTTTGAAACACCCGCAAATGTATTCACACACTTTTCTTGAAAAAAACCCCAAATATTTTCGATTCTTATGCTCTTTGAAGAAAATAATATTGCTCAATATCTAAAACAATCGAGAACATAAATCAGTTCCTGTCGCTCTCCTGTATTCCAAGAATAAGTACATTATCTTTGATTGCTTTAAGAATTTTTTACTAATTACTAAGTTTAACAAAATTCTGTTAACGTTAACAAGGTACATAAAACAAAAATAAATATTGTCCTTAAGATATACGATAATGCTTTTAATTTGAAAAAAACAACACACAAAACAATATCACAATATCTCATCAAGAACATAAATCATTCAATGTCACTCTCCTCGGATTCTACGGAACAATATCCAATGTATCTTATTATAGTATCTGCCAGTTCTTTCCTAAACCTTTTCTGTTTAAACTTTTCTCCATAACTTCGGCACATGGATTTCATAATTTGCGGTAATGCACATACAAAAAGAGCTGTTCCAACATGCATTATCACATGAAGTTCACGGAATCCATCAGTTTCTGCAAGGGTATTTATGGATAGCCCCAGGATGGTTATAATGACGCCAACTTTCAATACTGACAAAAACACTTGCATCCTTCTTGGAGAATGGTTTTCAATGACGTGTTCAAAAAGTGATTCCTTGATTGCTTTGTAATCACCACTTTTAACAACAAGTTTCTCAGTGTCGTTAGCTCTCTGCAATGCTTCACATGTTATAACAGTATCCTTAAGAAGTCGTTGATACACGAAGGAAAATTCTTGAATGCTTTGCCAAATGTAGTAAATGACAGTGAATGTGAAAATGAGATAACCGTAAGATACTTTAGGGTAGACAACGATACCGGTAAATGTAAACACAACGACCCTGGTGATAAAAAGACAAGCATCAAAGAAAATTGTAGCAAACATAAAAAGAAAATATACCACTGATGTTATCAGTAAAATACTAAGCAATAAGATTACTATTCTTAAAGGGAATTTTCGGTTACCTACATGAGCCCAGAGTTTTCCACAGTATGCTTTGATGATAATCAGAGCAAATGAATTGATTGGGTAACCATATAAAGCAATGCAGAGGACGATTTCGATGATACAGACAAGAGCAAAAGCCGGAATTAATGGAAGGCAAAATTTTGAACAGCAACATGTCTTCCAACGGTCATATTGAACATTCAGTACATGTTTCCAAAATTTGATATTGATTAGCATAAAGAACTGAGCCAGAAGCACGCTGTAAATCTTGCAATATCCATGTCTTCGCCTAATGTTGAACGAACCATACACTTCAATCGATCGAAGTTGTAAGTGTAAGGGAGAATATGTCTCGTCACTGTAATTGTTTTGGAGACCTTTCATGAGTAGGTCCGATACAGAATTTGGAATGACCAATAACACACACGTGATGAAAATATAAACACCGACTGCCACAAAAGGTCCACCTAAGAAGGGCATAAAGTTAAGCTTACTTTCTTTATAACCGGCTAAAATGGACCGGAATCCCAATGGTACTCCCTTCTTAATACTGGTGCTGACAAATGTATTAAGGTAAAAGTAATCCAGAAAAACTTGTAACCCAATAAAAACCAAACTAAGACATGGTAAAAAGATCCTCCAAAATTTCTTCAAAATTATTTGACAAGGTTTAGTGACCTTTGCATACACACTTGTACCACATGTTTTCATTGGTAGACATAACGTTTTAAGTAAAGTCACGTGATGATGATCGTCCAATAGAACGAGTCGTTCCAGTGAAGAAGTAGTATTATCTCCAGCGCAATGTTCCATATTTTGTAAAATTCCCTTCAGATGACCTCTACCTTCATCTGCAAATTCATGCAAAACGTATAGAATGAGAACAGGACAAAATCCAAATAATATGATAGATACTACAGTTGGGAGCATCCAATTTATTGGATCGTACCTAAACTCTTCCTTCCTACAATTCACGTGTCGCATTTGCAATGTCGTATTATACAAGTAAGAACAACAACTGTACTTCAGTGCTTCAATTGGGCAAACAATATGTTTGCAAAGCATATAAATGAAATGAGGCTCAATGAAAACTCGCGATTTGTAGCAGTAAAAACTGGGACCATACTTTTGCGAAAAATTTAACATTTCTTCTGTAAGATCAGACAACGCTTTGCTAATAGCTCTGTCCGAATCTATCTGACCAACTTGTAAATTTGAGCAGTTCCCTGAATCACGTTCTAAAACCATTTTCATCGGGTTACTGATGACGTAGCTAGATAATAACCCCAGCGACCATATTCTGAATTCTATTGGCCAATTCAAAATTTCCTTTCCGCCTTCCTTCCCATAGAAGGTCCATACCCAAATATTTTCACCAACAATAAGTTTGCTGTCTTTAATATTCACGCCAGAGCTTTGTTCAAGTTTTAAAAATACGAAACTTGCTTCCTTATAATAAACAATATGTCTGAACTTGTTTATTGAGGATTTCTTCAATTTCAATTTACAGTTTGTTTCTTCTCCTAAATTATTGTTCTTACCGAGGCCTACCTCAAGCGATGGTTTGTTCGTGCCATTCATCGAGTCAATATATTTTACGTCTTCAGATGCATCCTCACTGAAATTCTTTGCTAGCAATCGAAACTTTGATGTTTTATTCCTTGATGTTTCGATTGACTTGGTATTCACGCGTACTAGTATCTCTACACATATGAATAAAAAAAGAATCGTGGCTGATAATGTGGCATTCATGGTCAAAATCTGAAAAATTTATAAAAGACGAAATAAAAAAAAGGTTAGTACATGAATATATATGGGTTATATAAAGCTGAGAACAAAACAACTCGTTCAGTATTTGAGGTGTTTAATATTGTAATAATAGCATTCTTTCTAGGATGTGACAGGGTTATATAATCATGCCTAAAGTTTGTATAGGAATCATAGACTAAATCTAAATCTTTTGGTGGAAAAATGACGTTCACAAAATACAGTCATATTCAGCAGGGTAGTCAGAAGGTAGCGAACTTAAAACAAGAGAGGGCGCAAGTGCGGAGAAGAGTCGTGTTCTGTCATTACAAATAGTGCTGGTGGTCACACGGAGTTTTTTGGAGTACAAGAAAAAAACCAGGTTGTACGAAAACTTCAATCAAACCGAAAATAGAATAGAAAATGCACTATTCTGTAATATTCATGTATTATTACATTTCATTTGAGGTTATGGACATTTATAAGAATTGTAGGTTATAAAGCAACATCAAAATAGGTTCAGTGAAAGGATGCTGTTGGTAAGCATATATGTCGCTTATGTTACATGGACGTAAATACTGACACATGGGCTTATTAAAACAGCTTAAGTTGTTCAATTATTTTTATATGCCCGAAAGGGCATATTATGTTATACCCCCTAGCGTCCGTCTGTCTGTCCGTCTGTTAGCAATTTGGTTTCCGGAGCATAACTTGAGTTCTATTTGGCCCACGATGTTCAAACTTCATAGGATGATTGTCCATATTGGGTAGAAGACCCCTATTGATTTAAGGGGTCAAAAGGTCAAAGGTCAAGGTCACTATTACCTTAAAACTGAAAACAGTTTCCGGAGCATAACTTAAGTTCCATTTGACCTACAATGTTTAAACTTCATAGTATGATTGTCCATATTGGGTAGAAGACCCCTATTGATTTTTGGGTCACAAGGTCAAAGGTCAAGGTCACATTTACCTTGATACTGAAAACAGTTTCTAGAGCATAACTTAAGTTCCATTTGGCCTACAATGTTCAAACTTCATAGGATGATTGTCCATATTGGGTAGAAGACCCCTATTGATTTTGGGTCACAAGTCAAAGGTCAAGGTCACTATTACCTTAATACTGAAAACAGTTTCCGAAGCATAACTTAAGTTACATTTGGCCCACATTATTTAAACTTCATAGGATGATTGTCCATATTGGGTAAAAGACCCCTATTGATTTTTGGGTCACTAGGTCAAAGGTCAAGGTCACAATTACCTATAAACCAAAACAGTTTCTAGAGCATAACGTAAGTTCCATTTGGCCCACTATATTCAAACTTCATAGGATGATTGTCCATATTGGGTAGAAGACCCCCTATTGATTTTGGGGTCACAAGGTCAAAGTCACTATTACCTTAATACTGAAAAAAGTCACTTTTACCTTAATACTGAAAACAGTTTCTAGAGCATAACTTAAGTTTCATTTGGCCCACAATATTCAAACTTCATAGTATGATTGTGCATATTGGATAGAAGACCCCTATTGATTTTTGGGTCACAAGGTCAAAAGTCAAGGTCACTATTACCTTAAAATTGAAAACAGTTTCCGGAACATAACTAAAGTTCCATTTGGCCCACAATATTCAAACTTCTTAGGATGATTGTCCATATAAGGTAGAAGACCCCTATTGATTTTGGGGTCACAAGGTCAAAGGTTAAGGTCATTATTAATAACTTAAGTATTAATCAACCTACAGCTGTAAAATTTTATAGGATGAACAGCTAATTCCCATGTCTTACAAATGCTTCATCCTTACTAAAAAAAAAACACTTTCGGGCATATAATGTTCCGCCTAGCGGTGCTCTTGTTTTATCTTAAACTACAGCTTGGTGGCTAAAATATAAATTCAAACATAATGAAATTATACAATGCAGGTGAAACTTTAAGTGCAGAACGCAAGATTTACCAGAATTATACTATTTCGATCACCAAAATTCTTTCCCGTTATTATTGAGGTTACAGAAATATATGCGTATTTTGACAAGTTAGGTCATTCCAGTCAATAGAAAAACTAAAACAATAGAAAAATAAATGAAATCACTTAGTTTCGCATTTAACTATAACTACCGTAATCCGAGAAACTTTCGCGGATACAATATTAAAGCGTTTTTAGGAAGGATTGCGTTTTAGCGGCGTTCGCCCACTTTGGTAAGAAAAAAAAACATATCGTCACCTTAGTGTTGCAACGGGTTTAATCTTATTAAACTATATGAGGAGGTAACCCGTGCTTGCTATAAGGTGACGAAATATTGCTAGTATCACAATAACGTTTCTGGACTACGGCATACCAACTTGACAAAATCTTTAAGTACACATCATTACAAAGTTTTCACCATTATAATACAACTGTTATTTAAAATACATCCATGTAAACAATTATGTATATTATATTTATAACTTAAATCGGCCATTCTGATGTAATTGTCTTATACCCGAAAAAGAAAGTTCATTCTTTAAACATCAAATAACGTTATTTTTATTTAAAATCGTGGCGTTAAGTTGAATAATATGTATCTTACTATGACTATCTGAAATCTTGTTTGTAGTTTGATTTATAAAAGTGAATTGTAACAGTTATATATAAAAACAAATGTTTATCAACATAGATATGATTTCATAATGTTCTTTATAGAAAAAAATTACACCTTCCTTTTTAACGAGTAAAATTACAGTCATTCAAAGTAGGCAAGCTATATATAACGTGCATTTCTCGAATATGTTTTTATTTAACCTGTAAATAATTACAAAAGTGATATTTTCAAATACCAAGACCGTTTTTCAAAGGGCAATTTCAACCTTTCAACTATATGTGTAAGTTATGCTTGTTAACCTAATTGATTAAAGATAACTATAATATTTTATCAACAAAAATTTGATGTGTGCTGCTTAAAATTATTTCAATAATATATGCAGTATAAAAGGATATTAAAATGTAATATCAATTTTGGTTTAAAAGTCTAGGAAGTTATATTTCCTTTATGCGCGGAGATGTTTACACTAGTATGCTTATCGATATTGCTATTGACTTTTCTTTGTTGCTGCTAAATTTAAAATGCGAAATCTATTGCTATCAAATGTATATATACAGTCAAACCTGTTGAAAAGGCAACCCAAAGAAAAGACCAAGCATGGTCTTAATAAACAAGTGGTCTTCATTTGTGAGTTATTTTGTTCTATTTTATCAATGAAGTGTTGTCAATGAAAGGCTTTTTATCAGGATGGACTTCATTCAGAGGCTATCTTTAACACAGGTTTTACTGTAGTTTGCAAAAACTTCACCGACGAGTTCACTGTGTGTGCAAGACTTGAAAATGTTTTTGGATCAAAATTAAAGTGACAACAAAGACAAAGGGCAAGTAAATATGGGCTTGAAATTCATAGATCCATATTGATAGGTTTAAAACTGATTGCCAGTACAGAAAAAAAAGTAAAACCATTTACTCTGTGTAATGTCTTTGACTCCAATCAATTATACTATTCGATTATATAGTACATGAATGGCTGTGTCCTGAGGAACAAACTACCGTACGACACTAAGTTGTAGGATTTAGATTGTCATTCAAAAGATATTTTCTTAATATGTAAGATATCCTCTTACGTTTAATTGTATTTTTTAAATACAATTCTATATACATTGTATAGTTTTGTCTTTCTTAATTTTGGATAGTGATTGCATGAATCTATATCAATAATATCAGCACTAACGGACCATAGTGTAAATATCTAAAGCCCAAACACAAGTAAATAAATAATCGGAAAATCAAACATTATAGAAAACAATATTGGTGAGTTTAATAGTTTAGATGATACAGATGTTGTCTTTATTCGTGCATGCGTGTGTGCCTGCGTGCACGTGACTGTGTACACGTGCCTGTGTGATATTTTTTATGGATGTGGTTGGTTGCCTTTTACCGGGTATTTTGCTTTTTATTAGATTACATTTAATGAAAATTGAATATACATGGTCTCTATATTAACATCTATCTACAGATATGAATGAAAAGTAAAAAAAGGAAAATGATATAAAGAAAACTTACGGTTACGGTTCAAAAAGAAAAAGCTCAGATACATATATATATCCAGTTAAAAACTGATATGAGTTAAACATTTGTGTAGGTTGAAAAAAAACACTTTATATTTGTAATCTGTCTGCATTAACAATAGTAAAATTATCTTCCTTGTAACCAGTTTTCGACAAAAAAAACGTTTTTTAAGGCCCCAAAATCTGTGTTAAATCCCCCATAGTACCTTTAATAATTTTCTTTAAATTAAAGCCATTTTTTAATTTTTCTTTAAAGCATATGGGGGAGAATCGGGAAACCCAAAAAAATTTTTGCAGAAGAGTAAAGGGGCCCTTGTACGGCCCAAAAAAAACCTTTTCTAAAGTACAATTACTTTAAAAAAAGATTTACAGGGGCCCCATGAAAAGGGAGTATTGAATTTTTACAGAATGTTCCTAAACATTTAAAGTTTAAAACTACGAAGGTGTGGGAAACCTTCCAATCGTTTTGAAGCTTTCCCCAAAAATATAAATTAAATTTAAAGGGAAATTTGTCAGTTCCCGGGTGTGGAGATGCAATCTTTTTATGCCCTGCTTCTCAAAACCGCGAACGCATTTTTTCTTAAACTTGATAGGAGTAATCGTGAGATCTACTCGCGCAGTTGGTAAGGAATTTGACCATGAGCTATAAATTTAGTGACCTTGGACTTCAATGTCAAATCATTGAGTTTGCTAAAATTGGCCAAAACTTCATTCATTATTTGGACACATATATTTGGAGAATACCTTAAAGGTTGGTTGACGTTACTTGACCTATATGTGACAGTGTCCTTTTGGGTTAAATCATTGAATTGGCGCACAACATAGTATCTCGTGGCCACGACTTAACTATCTCGTGGCCATGACTTAGTAACTCGTGGCCATGACTTAGTAACTCGTAGCAACGACATAGTATCTCGTGGCCACGACATAGTATCTCGTTCCCACGACTTAATTATTATGGCCACGACTTAGAAACTCATGGCCACGACTTAGTAACTCGTGGCCACAACATAGTATCTCGTGCGCATGAGATAAATAAAAAAAAACACATGTCACCTTTGTGCCACCGTATTTAAATCAGCAATTTGTTTGTTTTTTTGTTGTTGTTTTTGTTGTTGTACAAACAATGGTCCAAACGTGTGGAGATGGTTATGAAATGATTCATCCATCTTCTACGCATTAAATGTTTTTAATATTTTTTTAATTAAGATACAAAATTGTGACTCATCCATTAAAACTATAAAAAAGAATCAATTTTGATACCATGTATATATCAGGAATAATATAACAGATATTCATATACAAGTTTTTAAAAATATGTTCATATTAAAGGAATTCCGCTGAGGTCCAAAAGACTCAAACAAAATTTAAGTTCGGCCGGGGCACAAAAAATATGCAGAAGATGGTTAAGAAATGCACTCTGACAAAAACTGAACATTGAATTTCATGCTATTCTTTGGCCACTTTGAGTGAAAAGCGTTACAACGCTTTTTCAATTTTGGCCATTTTTCACAATTAGAATAATTGTTCGTGAAAAATTGAGTGAGCAAATGATCACAAGTTATTGGTCTAGACCTTCAACAAATGGAACATTGATCTCGAAAAAATAAATTTCCGGTCCCGTAATGCCAAAAACTCAGTGGAGTCCCTTTAAAGGAAAAAAAATAATCAACAGGACTTAATATCCAGATTTCCTGCGCAATTTATCATGTTTCAAAATATTTTATCTGTATGATTATTAGATTTATATGAATCTCTATCTACATCAGGAAGTTAATTGTAAATAAAGTCCGTGTTAAAACACTTCATGTCCGGTCAAAGTAGAGAAAACAACATGTCTCATTTGAATATATTGTTGCTTTGTTGTTTTGCGGCAGTTGTTTGTTTTTTGTTTTTCTTTTCTTTTGTTTTTTTGCTTTTAGTTTATCTAAAATTGTCAGGCTTCCGTTTTGGAGCTGTCCATTGGACATCAAGTTGATACAAGTTTGTAGCCAGGTCAGTATGCACGGATGTCCAAACTGGCCTGGCTCTATACCCGGGACAAAGGCCAGTCACTTCCGGTTCAAACAGGTTAAGGATTAAACTACATGTATATATCAACTATTTCACTCTGGGAACAAAACTACAATTGCACGAAAAATAACTGTCAAAAGCACATTATAGTTTAAAGTAAATAATAGTAAAATGTATATTTTAATTACATTTTTATGCTAGCAACCGTGTTTAACATCATTTGCTTCTTGGCTATTACTAAAGTAGGTGATTTAGTATTTTGTGTGGAGGTCAGCCATTCTAAAACACATTTTGCCTTTTCTTCTTAAGGCAACATGTTTTCAATAAATAGGCTAAATGAGCCTTTAAATATAAACATTCATGAAAAAAGAAGCTGTTGTTTTTTTGTTCATTGCACGCGATCCTTCTTCCAACAAATGTTTATATTTTTCAGAGAGCTCCGTTTTTTATGAGGAAGTTAAAATTAATCTTCATAGAAATGTACATCACAAGATTAAAACTTCTTTAAAAAAATCATTACTATTTGATTAAATTGGAAGAAAACAAAAATTATATTACAGGCAAACACCTCAAAAGGATTTGTGGACATCTTGCATTGCTTTAATAAACGATTACCAAAGGCGTTTACCATACCTTTGCCTTCTACCAACCATGATCATGGATAAATTTCTAATCTGACTAAAGTTCATATATACTTAAAATATTTCTTGCATGTAGGTTTGATTGCATGGCTAAAAACAGCTTTCTCAAGAAATCCTAATCAGTAAGGTGAAACAAATACGGTGGCAATCAGATCTGCATGCAAGAAACATAGCATTCATTTTAAAGGAGCTGGTTTTAATAAGATCTAGTTAAACCCATTTGAAAAGAGCGTGGTTAAAGTGACAGGGATTGCGATATTTCAATCTAGTCAAAACCATCATCATCTATAGGGGAAATTTCAAAATTACTACATGTACATGATCTTGGTCTGGACAGAAGCTATTGCCGCCTCAAGCATTATAGATACATTAATGGGGTTCTCAAGCCTTAGGTTTACAGTAATGTTCTTGTGAACATCTTAGACACGTTCTCTTAAAGGATAGTTAAGCTATATTAGGATGTTTTTAATTTATAAAATTATTTTCCTGTCTTCTTAAAATCCCTATTCAACGTATATAACTGAACGAATAATGTTTGCAATGTTTTCAGATATGCAAACGTGTACCTTGTTAAGACACAATGTTCTATAAATAGAAGAACTTCTTTGGTTAAAATTGTCTAGTTATGACCAAATGTTTAAGAAACAAAGTGATTATATAGTTAAAAGGAATTTTTATTGAATATTTCATCAATAATTTATCATTTTACATGCTTTGAATTTTTCTAACAAATACATGTAGTTCAAATACGTACCATCACTATAACCATAATAAACAACAAGTCATACAATGTGTATATTTTTAATCAATTTAATCATTCAATGAATTTACAATTTCCCAAATTGGTAATTAGATTCATAATTAACATGAAAAGGGATAATTCTACTTTTACTGTTATTACCGGGTATCTGGAAGCAGAAACTAGCTTAAAATACACTGTACACTAAGTAAAATTATTACACAAATTGTCAACCAGAAGATCGCCACTGTACAACACTAGTAGTAGGGTCTCCTTGGGTTATTCTGAAAAAAAAAATTGCAATAATACTTATACAAAACTGCAATTAATTTAAATCTTGAGCACATTCAAAACTAGTACAATTACAGCAATTTCTTTAACTCTAAACAATTTTTTCTTACGTTTGAATTTTTTGCCTTGAGGCTTGTCTAACAGACAAAACAATATAAAGTATTATTTAACATGTTTATTAAAACATAAGAGAACAGGAATCGTTATCATTTTTTCCTAGCTTGATATCAATAACAAAATTACATCATGGCATAACAAATAATCACCCCTTTTCCTTCAAAACATTTGAGCCGTGTCAGGACAAAACCAACATAGTGGGTTTGCGACCAGCATGGATCCAGACCAGCCTTCGCATCCATGCAGTCTGATCAGGATCCATGCTGTTCGCTTACCAACCCTATTACAAGTAGAGACACTGATAGCGAACAGCATGGATCCTGATCAGACTGCGGATGCGCAGTCTGGTCTGGATCCATGCTGGTCGTAAACGCACTATGTTGGTTTTGTCATGACGCCGTTCATTTAAAGAAACTAATTAATGAAATACACTGATAACTTAAATGCATAACAAAGTTAGGATTTATTTGCAAGGAATATGTACTAGTATTTGAAACCGTTGTTTCTTTTCACCCCTAACTGTGTGCTGGCAACAAAAACAATTTTACTTTGCGACCAGTATAAAGCCAGGGCCAGTCTTAGCTTGTCTGTGTAATATGAACAGGCTCTTTAATGTAGTCTGCTAAATTTCATTATTCCCATAAACTCATTGTTGACAGTCAAGGCCAAGTCAATCATGCAAACTAAGACAGTAATTTTTCCCATACATACCAAAGGGTTCGGTCTAAAGCGGTAGGCCAACATCATACGTTTTCTATACGCATCAAATTCATCATCTTCCTTGGAAAGTCCATCTGGTCTCTCAATTCCAACACCTCTCCCATCTACAGAAACATTGCCCCTGAAAATAAAACATACATTAAAATCACATAGAATGAGAAAACACATGTACTAATGTGCCATATCTATAACAAAGTTAATTTATAATTAATAAGTCCAGTCTGACCCCTAACAATTAAATCAAAATTTTTCTTTTATTTTAGATTAATTATGTCAGCTAAATGGGTCTATACCAATTATTACTGATTTATAAGGTAAATCTGACTAATTACATTTCCATTACATTATACAATCACTTTAAGTGAACTAAAATAAAACAACACCATTCTAAAATGAAACAACAACATTTGTTGTATGGGCTAAAATAAAGGAAGGTAAAAGGCATATAAACACCTCTCATGCAGACATTGTAGAACCATCTTTGTTATACATCTACCTGCATTAAAACTTAACCTCGTGAAATAGTAATTGATTTGTTCCCCTTTGAATTTGGAACAGTCCATTTGAAGTTTAAGGGGGTGATCTTTTCATCCAGCGACCACTTTTACCTGTAAAGCTGTTGTGTTTTTATAGAACGCAGCTTCATGACAAAAAATCAGCTACCAACGGATGAGTGGCAAAGGCTTATCAATTTAGGGTTTTAGCTGGATTATGGATAATGACCTTACAAAAAAAACTAGAAAAAAAACTTACTTATTAACAGGATCTAGTATTCCTTGACCTTCTGGCCCAAGGCCTTCACCTTCCTGCCATCCTAGTTTCTGCAACATCTGGTACCCAATATTCTCACAAGTTATCTTAAAATCTTTATAATCACTAAAATCTGGTGTCCTGCCTTCTTTTAATGCCTGAAAGATTTTGTTATATGATTATATAAAATATTTTACCATAGTTTTGATACAAAAAAAAACTATCTAAGATCGTAGGACTTTGTGCTTTTACTATTCTATGTAGAATTTTCTACATACAAAAAAGGCCATAATCCATGTTGTCTCCGAGATGTGAGTCTTTGACACTGACCATATGTTATGCTCTCTAATAAGTGTGTGAAGTTTTAACCCATTCCTTTCAGTAAATTTTAAGATACCAACATGCACGCAAAACCTTAATCAAATTGTGACACCGACGCTAATGCCTGGGTGAGTACAAAAGATCACCCAATTCTTCAAACAAACAGTTGAGCTAAATATGGTGTAAGTGCTTCATTTAAATATATGATTTCACTTGAAAAATCTAAAATAGATATTAAATTAAGACAACAATTGCTTTTTTTCTACACTAATTAAAGAATTTTAATAAAACAGTTAAGGCTATTGACTTATTTCTGATCTCAAACTAGTACCACACAACATTGCTACATTAAGATAATATTTTTTCCTGTTGTCCTAATTGTACTTTGTTATTTTAACCAGTGTTGAGCTTATTAGGATACTTCAGTGTTAATCATTATAACCCAGAGTACATAAAAGTACAATTTATATAAAGTATTATTTACATCCAAACTTATATCAATATATACTGTAGATGCTATGGACTTACTCTTACCCTTCAGCAAGTTAAACAAAAACACAGAGGTAATTGGCTTATTTCTACCCCAATTAGGCCACTCAATATTTCTACACACAAGCATTGTAGCTAGATTAATTCAATGGGAATCTGGACCACATTTTATGAACTATTCCACTTCATGTCTTCATAAGAAAGGTTCAAGTTAAAATATATAGGTTCCCAAAGAAGGGCATGGTGGTTTAATAGTAACAGGTGCTTGTAATTGCAAACATGGTACACATTTAAGTGAATACAACAAAACAGACCTTCCACTCTGATTCTATTTATCAAGATATGCTGTACAGTTTGTATATACAAAATCCTTTCCCCCAATAATGTTACGTAGGACTCTTACCTTAAATGTTTCCATAAACCTCTCAAGTTCATCTGGAGGAAGGAAATCTCCAATATGATGTTTCCCTTTGCCAGCTTCAGTCAAGGCCTCAGCCCATTCTATAAAATATATATAAACATAAGCTCTACAATGATTTTCTAACTTTCAAACAGGCTGGTATTGCTCTAAACTGGTGGCAAAGGCTAATCACTTCATAATCCAGCAGGTACAGGGTTAAAATGTAGATTCTTAAATTAAAATATTTAATCTGAGTTTTTTACTGTAAATGAGATAGTTAGACATTTAGCAAGTAAAATTTGCTATGGCTCTGCATCAAGTTACCTTTAGTAGCGTCCATTTCAGCGGTTCTATTCCTGTGTTCCCAGGTTCCTATTTCATCAGTCTCCTCATCAGAATCATACTCGTATTTAGGTTTAACCTTAATACCAGGTACATCTGCCATCAATGCAGCCTCCTGTGCTTTCTTCTGTGCAAGTATTAACTCGTACATCATGTTTATCTATAATACAAGGGATGTAAAGGAAAATATAATAAAATATACAACAAATCTAACTGACATTTGATAAAATATTGTTTCAAGAATACTGACTTAAAGCACATGAAAACATAAGGAACGCTAAGTGCTATTTATAGGGTTAAACACACATAAATGTTGTTTGTTAACAGAATAAAATGTTCGGAAACAAAATATTATGCTGCTATGCTACTAGAAAAGCAAGATTTCATGCATGCCTCATTTGCTCTTAAGGAAATATAGACACATATTTTTTTCATACAGGTATTTTGGAGCTTTTCTTTTTCTTTTCTCTTGTTTCTTATTGGGTTTTATGTCGCACAAACACAGTATAAGTCATGACGACTTTCTCGCTCAACTGGTGGAGGAAGACCTCAGGTGCCCTTTCATGCATAATTTTAGGCAGGAACAGGTACCTGAGTAGAACCACTCACCATTCCTTAAGATTCCTTACATGAAAGAATCCAAAGTCTCTGTCCATATTCCAACCCATTGTGGTGACGGGCAAATGGTTTTAAGTGAACAACCTAAACCACTCGGCCACAGCCTCTCCTTATTTTTTTTCAAAATACAAATAACTAGAACTGCCACTGTCATGGCTGGAATACCCCCGCATACCACTCTGTAAGAATCAACAGTGGCCATTTAGAGCTCAAGGACAACCTCCCTGCCAAATCTGAGGTTACTAAGCCATTGCATTGTTAAGTTATGTATTTTACATGCTTCAAATGTGACAATGTCAAAATCAATACACTGCGGACAGGCATTCTTAAGCAATTGAGGGGAAAAGCTTTTTTTAAGTCAAGGTCCCTGTGACCTTGACCTTTGACCCAGTGACTTCAAAATCAATAGAGGTCTTCTACTACTTATGACTAACCTCTATGCCAAATATGAAGACTGTGGGTCAAAGGAATCTTAAGTTATTGGGCGGACAAGCTTTTTATATTCAAGGCCCCTGTGACCTTGACCTTTGACCCAGTGACTTCAAAATCAATAGGGGTCTTCTACTACTCATGACTAACCTCTATGCCAAATATGAAGACTGTGGGTCAAAGGAATCTTAAGTTATTGAGGAACAAGGAAAAACCGATGGACGGCCAGACGTACAAGCTGATTCCAGTATACCCCCCATACAACTTTGTTGTGTGGGGGTATAAAAATTTGTAGAGTACAAGCAGAAGATGTATAGCTTTAAACACTTCATAAATTAGTCATTGTCAGACTTTACAAAAGTGCAGGCTGACCTGGCTCTATACTGATGGCAAAGACTAATCACATTTTTTTTAAAGACAGATTACTTTTGATTAACAGTTTAAGACATATAGTTGTATATAAATACTGACCTCACGTTGTTCTCTAATCTGCTCAATCTGCTCAGCATTCATTGTGTCAGAACCGACCATACGTCGTGAAAACTCCTGTAACGTGACTGTATGTACATGTGCTGGTTGTGCTGTAACATTGTAACATTAACATAGATAAAAACGTAAAATTTACAAACAAAAATAGCAATTATAGATATAAAAGTTTAATATACAAAAACAAAAATAGATTATTATTGAATTTTTAGCTGTAACTATGGAATCATACAACATGGCCTATGTGGATGCATTTTCAAAACATCATGTAAGATAAAAGTAGTTTACATCAATTATAGTGCAATATACTTATATATATATGACTTTAACTGGTTAAAAATATGTTAGGACTTCAATTAAGTATACTGTTCACTGATATTTTATATTTTTTCTATAAAAAATTCAAGAAATACCTTTATCTCCCTCTGGACCCCATCGGCTTCTACGCTTCCTCTTTTGTCCTTTTGGTGTATCTTAAATACAAGATGTTTGTATATAGCTAGTTTACACAGAGTCAGGCATGAAGCAATAAATTAAATTGTGAAATTGAGGTCAAGTTATCACATCAAAGAGAAAGCCAGATCTTTTTTTTCAATTATTTTAATTGATATCAAACCAACACTGTGAAAGTCATAAGATGAGTTTTCTGCTTTACGTGAAAAAGCAGAATTAAGGGCATCCTCATTAATTATTTCAGGCAACCAAGTAGAACAACCTTAAATAAGCTAGCTGAATACTTTAATCACATACAGAATCAAGTGATCCCAATTTTTGTTTTTTCATTGCTATACAAATAATTGATGGGATCATGCAGGAAGCCTTTGTTACATTTCTAAAAAATTTCAAAACTGATAACCAGCACTTAAAACAGACACATTTTAGGATAACTTAACTTAAAACAGACACATTTTAGGATAACTTATATGTATAACAACACAAACAACAAAACATTCAAGTAATTACACTTTTGAATACCAAGTGCAAACTTTTATCCTATTTGCAAGCTAAACATATAAACTTACCTCCAATTAAACACCTGGGAGAGGACACTCATAAGCTTTCATAGCTGTCTGTCTAATCCCAAAATGTAAATATATGTATGTGTAGATATTGTTCACCATACATAATGTAAACATATTGAATAAATTTGTTTAAAGCAAACACATAAACTTACCATCAAATTTCTCAGTTTTCAAACCTCTAGCAACATCTATCTTAAACATGAAATACTTGTACTCAGGACTCTCTTCTTCAAACAGAAAGCTGAAATTTATTTTCAATTCATTTTGATACATGTAGTTTATAAGAACAACAAGTAATTAAAAGAGTAAAACAACAGTCATTATACATGTATTTATAAATTAAAAGGTAAAACTCAGATCTTCATAAATTTGGAAATATTCCTTTCCATATTTTGTTTTTGTTTGTTTTGGGTTTTACGTCACATCAACACAGTATAGGTCGTATCGCGACGTTCCAGCTTTACTGGTGGAGGAAGACCTCAGGTGCCCTTCCGTGCATTATTTCAGGCACGAACGGGCACCTGAGTAGAACCACCGACGTTCCGTAATCCTAACCATATGATGAATTTTTTTTAATACAAACTGTCAACAGGGGAGCAAAACCATTCATTAATTTTAAAGGGTTATTAAGCCTTAATAAAATGCTATCATTTTTATTTTTCAGAAGCATTTACATTTGTTCTGTTACAGTTTCTAAAAAATTTACTCATTAGCATAATAGCTTTATACCTGTTTCATCCTTTGCATCTTTAGTGTGTTGGCAATATTTACATTTTAATGAATAAGTTTTATGAATGAAAGTCAAAATACCACTTTATTTGCATTTTGCTACCTTTATCACAACTTTTTTCATATTTAACACTATCGTTGTCAGGTGATATGCATCTCCCATGTTGTAAATCATTTAATACAACACTGTACAACACATGTTTGCCCTATCTACACAAAAGTAAAAAGTATTCATTTCTGAAGCATAATGTGCCTTTAAAGGAAATTTCAAAATATGTACTGACTGAATAACAAAGAATTCAAACCATTTTCTCAGATCTCAAGCATGAGAAGGTACAGTATAACTACTATACAATATAACAAGAGCTTTGCTAAGGCAGGGAATCATACGCCCAATGAAAAATAAAGGGCATACAGACGGAAAGAGGCCTTCAAGATATATATAGCAAAATTATTGTTGTAAATAGCACAAATGATGACTTTTCCATCAAGTGTGAAAGAAAAAATATAGTCTCATATTTGGGGGGTAAAAACATATTTGCAATATAAAAGGGGGCATAACTATGTCAATACATTGCATAGAAAATCAAATTTAACTTGTGTTTTGATATAGGATACATACATATCAAGCATAAACAAAAACAATGAAATTCGAAAGTTAATTTGGTTAAAAAGCAGCATAACTGTAAAAAAATCGAACTTGACTGCATTTTGATATAGATATTAACATGCCAAATGTAAACACAATCATCAAATTACTTGAAAATTTACACATCACATTAATTTCACATTAAATTTGGTTACAAATGGGCCTATCTCTATCAATAATAATTTGATTACAGCCAAAATCAAACTTGACCTGTGTTTTGATATAACATATTTACATGCCAAATATAAACATGATCATTGAAATCCTTAAAAATATTCTCTAACAATTGTCTATGGTATACAGACAGATGCACAGACAGACATGGATAATGCTTTACCATAATTTGTCCCAAAGTTTCTTCTGATAGGGGTATAAAAAAAATCATATTATTATACTTACTTAAACACGGGATCGTTTTTATGGTCTTCCTTCATCTGATTGAGAGCATGGTCTCCACTCTGTCCGACATACATGGCGAGGTTATCAATCAGCTCTCGTGTCTCGTCATTTTCTGGGGGAAAAACTAGAAGCAGCCAATCAGTACCTAGCCCTTTCATCTACCCCTTTTTTTTCATAATACCCTAAAATCGTCCAACACCATTCCCATACAAAACCCGATTACGTTGAGCAATCGTCAACTTTCAAGAGTATACAGAATTCAGAATTTCGTTCTTAAGGCCCCTCCCGCTACCTACCCAAATTTTTTTTTTACCAAACATTAAAGCAGAGAGTGTCAATGCAAAATACATTTTTATATCTGTCTCATGTTTTTTAACTGTAAATATAAAATATGGTTCTAAACTTTAAAAAGATGCTTAACAGTCACAATTTGTTTGAACTACATACAATTTTGAAAACATTTTAGATGAAAAAAAAAATTTTACTCAAAAGAAAAAAACAACAGTTTGGATAAAAAACGATTTTGTAAAAAAAATCAAGCGCATTCAAGCCAATGCATAATTGATTTTGTTGATAAATACTAACAGCATTTTTTACATTTCCTAAGCAAATGAAATTTTTATTTCTGTTGCTTCCCTCACATAATCAAAATGTGCATGAATCAAGTCTGTCCTACTGTTTTCATTTCATAATTCATTGAAACATTTTCTAATTAAGAGTACCCTTTTGAAACTAAATTACAACTTTTATCATTTTATACTAATCAAGTGTTTCCCAGTAATTTCTTTGGCATAACTGAATTCTGTATAATTGAAAATCAAGTGCTATTAGCTGTATCCCAGTAGAAACTGATAATGTAGTCATAAATCAAATATTCCCAATATATGTACTTCAAAAAAAGAATGCCTGAGATTCATTTTACCAATATTTTTTTACATTTTACTTTTTATCGCTCAAGTTCTTAAACTATGAAATAGACACCTCACATATTAAGATATTTACCTTGTTCATCATCAAACACATTGCTACTGGTTGCCATGGTTTCTTTCTTGAATTCTATTTTTGTCATTCCTATTGAGATCCTTTAAAAATATAACAAACAAAAAACAGTCACAAGCTAGAATACATTTAACAAATTCCATACATCCATCAACAATCTTTTCTCTTGGTCAATTGCAGGCCACAAACTGACAGAATTCCACTTTCTTGATTATATACATTTTTAAGATATCTAAATATAAATTCTCATGTAATCTAATATTAAACACAGGGATCTGTCAGTGTTACTTAATACCAACTCAAGAACCAAACAGACAAGGTCTATTGGTAGGACAGCGTGCCAGACTATTTTCAGTGTTTGATAGTAATACAAAAGCCTGGATCATGTAGAATTTTCTTAGTTCAAAAAGGGCCATAATTCTGTCAAATTCATGTTAGAGTTTTGGTTCTTGAAAATGTACATAATCACCCCTTTAGACGAAAAAAGAAAAGATTAACTTACCCTTTACTGTCTTTCACATCTTTTGCTGAAATTACAAAAAGTAATGTACATTATGTACTTAACAAGAGCTGTCGGTAGGACAGCAGGCTCGACTATTCTAAGTGCTTAATAGTAAAAGAGCCTTTATAATGTTAAATTATTTAAGTTCACAACAGGTCTATTTTTTTTTTATAAATTGTCCCAAAAAAGGCACAAACCCTTCAGTAGTTATTGAGACAACAGCTTACAAGCAAAACTTTACCATGAATTTCTAAGTTGAAAAAGGGGAGAAAAATTACCCTAAATGCAAGATAGAATTATGGATCTTTGTCAGTGACCTACAATTATGACCCTAAAGGCATAAGTGAAGTTTTAAATAAATATCTTTAATAGTTATTGAGATATTTAAAACTACCATGTAAACATTAACCAAGACACTAAGTAGATAAGGGGATATGAATCAGCCTTAATGCAAGATAGAGTTTATGGAACTTGGTCAGTGACATACAATTCTGACCCTCCAATTATGACCCTAAGTGCATGTGTAAAGTTTCAAGTAAACATCTTTGAAGACCTTTAACCTTTAACCAAAATTTCTAAGTTAAAAAGGGGCAAATAATTCTGCAAATATTGCAGGCAGAGTTATGCAATTTTGCAAACTGATGTACATTGTTACTATAAAAGAGTATTTTAAATTTCAATTGAATATCTCAAGCAATAATTGAGATATTTGACTTTACAGAAAACTTTAACCAAAATTTTTAAGTTAAAAAGGGGCATTATTCTGTCAATATTGTAGGCAGAGTTATCCAACTTGTCAATCTGATGTACCTTCTTACTATAAATAAGTATTGTAAGTTTCAATTGAATATCTCAAGCAATAATTGAAATATTTGACTTTACAAAAAACTTTAACCAACGCAGACGCCGACGCGGACGCAGATACCGACGCTGGGGCGACTACAATAGCTCTATTATTCTTCGAATAGTCGAGCTAAAAATTAATAAAAATATTTCTTGCAAAACCTTATCAGTATTCATCAAATGGGATTATTAACAAGAGCGATCAGTAATCACATTTATCACATAAACCACGGCGCAGGAGTGTAATAAAGCCATTTTATAAAAAAGATATTACACTAGACGATATTACACTAGTGTAAAAACACTTTGACGTCACGTAATTTGCACTATAAACATAGCGTTAAAGCGCGCTAATGTTAGCGTTACACTAGGCGCGTCAAAGAAAAATGACTCTTGTTAACAGTTTACCGTTCTTATTTTATATATGTGATAAATAGAATATTATATTCGTGTAAATTCAATACTAAATTTATTGAACTCTTTGAATAAAACAATATTATGCTCGCCAGAGGCTCGCATAATATGATTTTATTCAACTCGTTCAATAAATTTAGTATTAAACCTACACTCATTCAATATCCTCTATGTGTTCCATGTGTTGTTGACAGACGGACGTTCCTACTGAGTTGACATTATGGGGTTTTTTTCTTTGATCTCCTTTGATCTCTAAAACCCCATAAGCAACGTATTTGCACCCCATAAGCAACCTTTTTCCTCACAAGTACCGTCTATACGGATTGAACATGGATATTCACCCCACATCGTCATTTCAGTGAGAGCGGACGGACTCCGTAGAGGCGACACAAAAATACAGCACAATCTATTTGCTTATGGAAACAATTCAGTAATCCTTCTCTGTCCTTACATCAAAATATTCAACTTTTCAAATAAACATAAAAATATAAAATCTTAAAAGTGGCAAGTTTGAAATGAACCACAGTTACCAGTCTTCTATACTATGATTCTGCTATAAGATACTGTTTCAGAACCACAGTTATTCCAAACTAAAGGGCATATTCAATATATATCATTAACATGAATTTTGTAATACCTCTTGTCTAAAGAATATACAGATAATTTCAATATCTTTACAACTGGTTTACAGAGAGATATGCTTCACATTCCTACGAAACACTTGAAATCATGAGATAAAGAGAAAAAATTCTGACAGATCTACCTGGTGAGTCACCTTCTGTTGGAATTGCCGGGTCGTAATCCCCTTCTGAAAAGCTGCTGTCATTTTTGTTGAATGGGTCATATTCTTCTGCCTGTTTTCCTCTTCCTGCCCTATTTCCATATTCATTCATGACCTGCCCATTTCTTGATGGGCCTGGGCCATATTCACAGACTGGTTCTTGTTTAATTTCTACTTTTTTAACTAAAACAGGTCCATAGTCACCCATTACTGTTGTAAATTCTGACTGACTATCTACAGGTTCTTGTTTAATCATTCCAGGGGGAGGCGTGGCAAACTGCATGTTTGGTGGTCCTTGTGCTGGATGTGGACCATGAATATGAGGAGGTTGATTGACAATGGGAGGGGCCTGACTATACACAACTGTGGACTGGCTGACAAATGGGGGAGGAGGAGCTTGGCTGGGAAAAGGCGGTGCTTGACTGCCTACAGGGAGATGAGTTTGACTGAGCAAAGGAGGAGGCTGCTGAAGAAATGGGGGTGGCTGACTACAATTCACCGGGGGCATGATTGACTGATTTTGTGCAGGAGGAGGTATAGACACATCAACAACTTGTTGATGTGTAGCTATAACTTGAGGAGGACCAATTGTCTCTGGGGGAGGAACTGTGAACTGTTGTTGATGAACTACATGAGGGGGAGCTTCTGAAAATGACACTGAAGTAGGCGGAGGCTGAACATGAACTACAGTGTTTGGTGCCATGCTGACACTGTGCTGTGATTGTGCAATAAATATTCCAGATGATGATGAATTGCACATCTGGGGAGGTGCTCCCATTGACATTGGGGGAGCTTGTGACATCAAAGGCTGAACTCCCATGGAAATTGGGGGAGCTACTGACATAGAGGGTGGGGCTAATGATAATGGAGGAGGCAATGACATTTGGGGAGGGCCCTGTGTGATTAATTGTACATGTGATGCAGGGGGCGGAGTTGGGGCACCTGGAAGCCCTATTGGGGGCTGTGGTGATTGGGCTAAAGGCGGCTGTAACTGCACCTGAGCTTGAATTTGGGGTGGTAATGGGGGCATACCCTGTGGAGGTTGAGCCACAATTATTTGTTGTTGAACAGAAGGGGGTGGGGAAGTAAATGGACCTGCAGGTTGTGAATGGGGCATTTGTAAGGGTTGTGGTGGTTGCTGCTGAACCTGCATAGGGTTTGCCATTATTTGTTGAGGAACTTGCTGTTGCGGTAACTGTAGTGGTTGCTGGATGACTTGAACTTGCTGCAACTGCGGCTGTGCTGGCCCTGGTGGTGGTCCCACCTGCTGCATCTGAGGTTGACCTTGGACCTGACCAGGTGGTAACTGCTGAAGCTGTATCAGTTCTCCAGGTTGCTGTACAATCATTTGCTGAACCTGTGCTTGACTCCCAGGTGGAAGGCCAATGATCTGCTGTTGTGAAGTCTGGAGATGCTGGGGACCTGCAAGTTGTGTGGCTGCCAAATGGAGTGGGTCTAACGCCTGCTGCGATAAAATACTAACTGGTTCTGTGACAGCTTGTTGAAGGACCAGACTATCCTGCACAGGAAGTCCCATTGGTAAAGTTGACTCCTGTAATATATTTTTAGACATACAAAATACTTAAAAAACTATAAATGTATCCATATGACATGAATGTCTCTCTTTCCCTTTTAAAAAAAAAATCTTTTACAGTTTTTAAGTTAAGTACATACATGTACATATGATTTCATTTGAAAAACCCTCAAGAATCTGTGAAAACATTACTACAGTGTATAGCTACCCGTCTTTGACATAACAAAACAAGAGGGCCATGATGGCCCTGAAGTCGCTCACCTGTATATAGGCCCCCAGAGCGGGGCCAGTTTAAACCCCAGGGCTTTTATTTGAACAAACTTTGTAGACACCCATTAGAAGATGTTTCATGCTAAACATCTAAGGTCTAGCTTGTTGGGTTTTTTAAAAGAAGATTTTTTTAAAGTTTTTCCTTTACACATATAGTTAAAAACAATGACACATCTGGGTCAGGGCCAGTTTTGACCCCATGGCTTTTATTTGAACAATCTTTGTAGACACTTATTAGTAAATGTTTCATGCTTAATATCTAAACTCTAGCAATTGGGGTTTTTTCAAAGAAGATTTTTAAGTTTTTGCTATACACATATAAGGAAAATCAATGACCCCCGGGGCGGGGCCAATTTTGACCCCAGGGCTTTTATTTGAACAAACTTTGTAGACACTCATTAGAAGATGTTTCATGCCAAATATCTTAGGCTCTTTGGGTTCTTTAAAAGAAGATTTTTTAAGTTTTTACTATATGCATATAGGGAAAATCAATGACCCCCTGGGGCGGGGCCAATTTTGACCCCTAGGGCTTTTATTTGAACAAACTTGGTAGACACTTACTAGAAGATGTTTCATGCCAAAAATCTAAGCTCTAGCTCTTTGGGATTTTTAGAAGAAGATATTTTTTTCTTTTGGTTGCCATGGCAACCAGAGTTCTGCATGGATATAAATTCTTTGAACAACTTTCAAAGGTGACCACCAAAGGAACATTCCTGTGAAGTTTGGATGAAATTGGCTCAGTGGTTTATCAGGAGATGTCATTTAAAGTAAAATTTTACGAAAGACGGACGGACGATGGACGCCGGACGAAAAGCTATCACAAAAGCTCACCCTGTCACTTTGTGACAGGTGAGCTAAAAAAACACATTGCGATACAATGACAAAATGTCAAAATTTAACAACAGTATATACTGCGCAGTAGACTTACAATCCAACAAAACAAAGACAATACCTGTGTTATACGTCTGATAGGTGACACAGATCTACTTCGGTCTCTTTTCCTGCGCTCTTCTTTTTCTCTTTCATATTCTCTTTCCCTACGTCTTTCCTCATCCCTCATTCTTTCTTCCCTGAAACAAAATTATGATTATAATAGAGTTAGTTAATGCACCTAATGTTGTGCATTAATATCTGCAGTCACATGAGAATGCATTTATAGCCAAAAACTGAACGGAGAACTTTACAGGGTATTAAATGCAATTAACAGTGCATAATGATATGTAAATAAACATTTATTTGCGCACATAATTATAGATACATCTATTATTAGATCTGGGGTTTTAGGAAACCAATGTGAAATGTACTTCTAAATCACCCAAATATCTTTTTTCGTATCTTTATTTATGATTCCAATGACAATTCTAAATGCCTTAGAAAGAAAAAAAACAACAGGTTTTTACATGTTATTGTAAACATGGTTTACAATAACCACGCTGCATGGCTTACCTAAATAGATCTTGTCTCTCTGACCTCCCCGACTGACTCTCCCAACGTTCTCTAAATTGTTTCTGCATGTTGTTTTCTGGTTCTCGTACAGGTTCACGAACTTCCTTACTGACAGAACGTGACTCGTGATAATAGCGATCCCTCTCCCGATTACGTTCATCTTTCCACTTGTCACGGTCATCTCTTTCTGACCTGCTGTGATCCTGAATGTAAATGTTACATTTATTTATCATGATTTCTTACTTACAAATTAAACACTATTTTGATACCTGACAAACTTACTTGTTTTAAACGATAAATTAAAAGATTGGGAGGGGATAACAACATGTCAAAACACCAGGTCGGTTCCTGTTTAGTTTGTTTTACTTAAATTCTAAGAGCCTTTGGCTAACTAAAAATAGTCACTTTGTTTGTACAAATAGCAATGTTTTTATTTTTCAAAACACTGTTTGAATTTTCTAAAAAATGCATAAGCCCTAAAGGCATGCAACATGTAGTCAATTAAGATTTACAATGGAACCCCTCTAACCAAATTACTTTTGTCTAGTTTAGAGGTGAATATAAAGCAATGACCTATTCAAGCAGGACAAAGTATTCTTTTGATATTTGGACTGCTGTACATAAAAAAACAATGTCTTTAGTAAAAGTTTCATCAATTTGCTGGCTAAAATAGTACAAAGCTTAATAAATATACCTGTGATTTGTTTCTAGATACATTCTCTCCAGAGTTCCAAGTGTTTGGGTTACTGTTGCCCTGGAACCATTTCTTGCTTGAATCTTCTTTAGCTGATTTCACTTCTGGTGCTTTTTTTACAGTGTTTGACGATGAATCTTCTCTTTTACCTTTGTCTGTCATGTAGAGTAAAATTCTTTATTCAATTTATAGTGTGTTTATGTATCTCATAAATCGAACATGCATAATCTTCATAATAACTGTGAAAGTGACTTAGTCCTAAGGTGCGACAAAAGAAACAAACAATAATAGCTTGATTCAATTGTTATATGCTATTCTACAATGTTCATCATTTTTTACATAAGAAATATTAAAGGAATGTAAAATCCTGCATACAAAAGTATGGAAACAAAAAATGAATAAGTCTTTGGATCTTGGTCTTATTTCCAATGAAAGATTGTACTAAAACTGCAATGTTCATGATTTTTTTTTGATTATGGCAAAGACTGTGAATAGAATACATTAATTTTTGTAACTTATGTCATTATGTGACATTTGCAATTACTTTATAGTGACTTTATCTCATTTGTTTTCTAACTCTTTGCATTACGACATGTTTTTTAATTAATTTCATTCTGCTGGTTTTAGTCAGGGCAAAATCATTTATTAAACTATTACCAGAGGTTGGTGTTGATGCTTTGCCTAGAGACCCTTGTTGTTGCATTTGTTTAAACCTTTCTAGGAAGTTCCCATCATTGACAAGAAGAATTGGTTTTGGCGCTTCAGTAGTAGGTTTTTTATTCTTTTCAATACCTTTTAGAGCGTGACTACAATAAAAGCAATGAGAAATATAAAAAAAAAAATCCATTTTTTTTACTTCAATACTTGGTATATTATCATACACTATTTAATTGACAGAAAACTGATTATCATGGTATTTCAAAAGAGCATATTTTTAAATTTACTTCAACTTTGATATTTTCTGACAATGTTTTTTTTTGTTCAGTTTTTCTTTGCACCAACACAGTAAAGGTCATATGGAGATTTCCAGCTTTACTGATGGAGGAAGGCCTTAGGTGCCCTTCCTTACATTACTTCATGAGTAGAACTACCGATATTCTGTAAACTACATGTAGCATGAAAGAATCCAAAGTCAAGCCCACAGCTTGAGCGATGAGGGACATGTGACTTGAAGTCAAAACCTTAACCACTCCACCAAAGAAACCCCTATATTTTTTTTTTTAATTTTTGACAACAGTTTGGCACATTTCAGTAATTCATTTGCTTACTTCATAAAATGCAAATTCAGGATATTGATATTTATTCCTTATTGTTAATTCTTCTTTCCTTTCTACTCTACATTTACTTCTTACAGTTTATTTACATTTAATTACTATGACATATTAACTTCAATATAAGAAAAATTATCATACAAATCTAAATATTTAGGGTGTTTGTTTTTTATATAAAAGTTACAAATTTCTTATTATTAAGTTATATATTCTTATAATTAAATTAGAAATTTTACTACCTTTTACTTGCAGTTACTGGAGGTTGTTTCACACTAGCAGCAGCAGCTGCCTCTTTTGTTTTCTGTAACTGCTCGGCCATCAATTTAGCTTCAATCTGGCGTTTCTTCTCTTCTATAAGCCGCTCCTGGTCGTTCATTTGCATCATTTTATCACGATATGTTGTGACCGAATACCCTGTACCACCACTATATGACTGTGACACATGTTTATTTGCTGAAAATAAATTTTGTAACTTTTATAAATTCTTTTCATGAGCTTTCCTAAAATATCTTGCATTCAGACATCTACATTGTAAATATACATGAATTTGTGTAACATCCTTCAATTAAATTTGGGTACATATTTTACCTAGCATGAAGTCAATTCTCCTTAAAATTTTGCTCAAGGTAGAGCCCGCCCCTGAGAAAAGCCTTTTGGAACCCCCTTCCCTGATTTTCACATTCTTTACCTTTCTTCTTTTACACAGCACTTTCTAACCTAGTGATTTCCAGAAAGTAAAATAAGTACATACATTATTATTTAATGATTATGATAGCTTAATTTGAAATATTCATTTTTAATCATTTTCGCTTCAATTGAGGGTAAAGGCAGCATTTACTGTGCATCAATATCCGAAGAAGCATAAAGATAAACAATAAAAAAAAACAATTATGCACATGAAAGGACCACAGCTTCCAAATATTTAATTGTCAGTCAATTTTATGAAGGAATCCCCACTACTACCAGAAATATTTTATTATATCGAAAATTATTAGGTAGTTTATGTTCGAAATAAGAATTTTATATCTTGATAATTGGCTTATTAATACGCGAAAAGCCCCGCTCTTAGATAACATGTATGACCTGAATAAATCAAATTGAAATCACATTAAAATCAACTAAAAATGTGTCCATAGGACACGGGTGCCCCCACACTCCACAGATTTGTCAATCTTATGTCCCTAGGTCAAATATTTTTTTGGCTACACGTGCCCGAGTTGAAAACTAAAGATTTTTTTATTAAGTAAAGGGCAAATACTACAAATACTGAATAAATCCACAAGAAAACCTCAAGGTGCATAAGTACACATGCTGACCAACATTCTTGTAAACTTTCAGGCCTACTGTACAGGTCATAAACATTTTGAGTTACGTGCAACACAAGTTAAATATTGTAAATTTTTACTAAGTCAAGGGAAATAACTCTAAACATACTAAAAATATCCACATGAAAATACCCAGGTGCACAACTTCACATGCTGATCAACATTTCTGTAGGGTTTCATGACTCTAAGTCAATTACTTTTTGAGCTATGTGCGACACAAAAAGGGGACAGACGGACGGAATGACGGAGAGACAAGGGTATTTATCTAAATGCCCCCATATAGTGGGGGCACAATAAAAAATATATATCTAACGAATTGGAGAAAAATCCTTTTAGATAACTGGGCGCCACCATTTTGAAATCCTTTTGAGCTACCGTCTACATAATTCAGACTTTTTCTAGAAGAGGCTTGCCAAATAACACAAGTCGCCCATGAAGTAAAAATACCTCAAAGCAACATAATTTATACAGCTGTAGTAGACGTGGTAGCAAGACACAACATTCTTGTAAACACCCTCTAGACACTTCACCCCTCAAATTTTGAAGACACTCATCCCTCAAGACACTTCACCCCCCAAAATCAGTAAGACTCCTCACCCCTCATCCGATTTTTTAGTAGCGATCTCGACTAGCTGGCCCAAAGGGCCTGCTCCAAAGCGAGCTTTACGGTAACGCGAGTACCTGCTTGGTGATGGTTTTGAAAACTTTCGTTCGATGTACCGAATTGACACATCACAACTTTTCGAATTACAAGATAACGATAAAAGCCAATGTACTCTGATTGAAAATGGAAGCGTAGACTGGGGTCCTGTGCACTTATATGGGAACCATAATAGAAAGGGGGGACCAGAATAAACGGAAGCAGTGTATAAAATACCGAATGACAATTTTAAAACGGAAAATGTCAAATAGAAATGAACAATTATATTAAACTATTTTACAGTAATAGAAAATCGAGCTCGCTTCGAGGCTTTGCATTTTTCATATCAAGACGAAACCTACATGGTCTGTTAATGCGTTGAACTTGTTCTTCTTGTGGTTGATAACCAAGTCCGGCTGTCCTCTGTCCAGAAAATTTATTGTATCCTAAGCCTCTCTTCGACATTTTACCTTGTTATGTAGGTACTAACACGCTGCGGTTTTGACTGTTGACAGTTGTTGAAATTTTATCAAACTTATATTTTTCAACTCTGTAGTGCGACTGATTGAGTTGACATGAAGTGAATCGGCATTCATTTAGAAATGTTATAAATTTTATGCATTTTGAAGAATGGATTTACATCTGTTTTTAAATTAATGCCATTGCAAACACTCGGTAATTGTGTGTTTCAATATTGACCTCGATCCTCCATTTTTCCTAAAATGGACTGGTGTAAACTAATTTAAATGACGGAAAGTTCCTCGTGACCGTTATTCGGCGAAAAACAATAGGTTGAATGATACTAAATAAATATACGGAAAAATACATATGTCTGTCGCCTCTCCGTAATAGCCAGGCCCGTGTTCACAAAGATTTAAGGTTCAGGATCAAGATCAGGATCAAATTAAAAAAATCAACTATTCTCTGTTGTTTATCCTCATAGATTAAATATTTAATAATAACTTGATAAAACTGGACTTGAAATTGCATGTTTATAAAATTTAGAATAAATTTATTGTTATTTTTGCAAGATACCGGCATTTTACAGTTGATCCAAATATTGATCTTGATCCTTATTTTGATCCAATTATTTTTGTATTTGTTTTTTTATTCGTTGACTTTATCCTAAAATAGGTTGGTTTCTTTGTATATCAGCAATTTTTCACATTTTAAATATGCACCATTTAATTCTAGCAAAATACTATTAATTTAAGTAACACAAAACAATGAAAATAAAAACAGGATGACTTGATCCTGATCCTGATCTTCTCTTTGTGAACACGGGGTCAGGGGTTCACGGTATTTAATATTTATCAGAAAATATTTATATTAAAAAATCATACATGAATGAGATTTTTCTTCAATCTTATAAGTGAACCTTTTCCAAGACTGTTTGTCAAAGATTTGTTACAAAGAATCAATTACAATGTCATTTCTTAAACTATTTCCATTGTCTGCCAATATGGGAGCTTTCAGAGGAGGTTACTACTGTATCACTGTAATGCCAAAAAAATGCCAGAATGGAAGAAATAGATGTGTCAAAATCTTCAAATCAAGTTGTAAATATCTTCCAACAGCTAACTTACTGTAAAAATTAAAGCAATATGGACAGTTTATATGTCAGCATATTGGATTATAACATAATTATTTCTATTGACTGTGTGAAAACAATTGAGGGAAAAGTAGTCAAATATCCATGAAGAGTTTATAAAACAGTTTTCTTACACGGAATATATTCATTATTCACAAAATTAAATTTATTGGCAGGTGCTATGCGATTTAGTGTCACAGTTTTAAGAAAAGTATCATTAACATGTGTTGCTTTCACAAGTAGTTACAGAAAATGTAAATACCGTGATATCATAGAACCCGTGGTATTATAGGAACTGAGTTTAAAAATCTGGCCTCTCTTACGCAATATACAATATGTACAGTAGACTGTTTCTGACATACCTGTAGTTGTAGTTATTTTGTATGGGGGTAACAATAAATTTGGCCACGTTTATTTTTAGGAAAGGGTGTTCTCATATTATAATTTGCATCATACTTTATTTGAGTATTTTTCCTAGAATGCATCGAAAGTATGTAATTTTCAGTTCCCTTTGCTTCTAAAGATGAGACCCGATCGAGGCGTTTGCACTTGATAATAGTTTGTAATGTTTAAAAGGGGAAAGAGTTAAGTAATGTTTTCAGTTTTTATATGCTATTCCGGTCTAATCTACGCTGCAAATTGTAAAACAAATGAACAATTACTAGTAAGTAAATGCAGGGACTTGTTGACTTAATTAGTACTATACTTTTTATTTTGCTAATCATTATGTTTCTTGAAATAGAAATCTTTAATGCTGTTATACCTTTTTGGTCCTTTGGGATGCTTGATTTTAGCATATTAAGTGTTGAAGATTGAATATTGCTTGCCTGTGCAAGGGATTTTGATGGATGTTGCACTTTTCCATTATCCCACATGATCATGAACAGATTCAAACCCAGTCCTCAATTTTCATGTACATTTACATCTTTTCCCCAGACGTTTATACATTACAAAAGCAGGTTATAGCACCGTGAATTTATATGATATCAAATATTAGACTGGAAAAAATAAAGGTAAAATACAATTTAAAAAGTTTTTTTAAGTAAGTAAAATAGCTCATAAATAAAACACGGAAAGTAATATATGTTATCTATACAAAAACGGAAAGTTTTTTAATACCAGTCTAATGTATTATGGCGGCCCCCATAGACATCAATGCGACTCAACTTCGGTAAGTTTATTTCATACTTAACCTCTTCATTAAGAATGATAATAAATTTATATTTCGTGAAATTAAGTACTGACAAATTGAAGAAGAAATTCTAATGAGGATAACTTTTAATGTTTATATAAACACATTGTATTCGATGTTGCACACCACTAAATATTTTCCTTCACAGTGAAACTTGTTTGCCTGAACCAAAAAAATTTTTGATCGACTACCTGTAGTGTAATTATTTATATACACAGTAGCTATATTTATTTTGTTTAAAAAGACGTTTTCTCGGTAGATTTTCATTGATTTGATAAGTGTGTGTGCTATAGTTAAAGTTTAGATAATCACGGCGGGTAGTCAGTCAAAAATTCCTTACTTTTGGAGCCGCCTCTTAGAACTGGTTGATTAAATTTTAATGAAACTTGGCATAAATGTAAAAATATTTAACATTATTATATGAATATGGGAACAGTAGCTCATCAAAATCTACTGTGGGATTTGAGTAATGGTATTTTGTTACTTTTGAAGAAAAAATCCATTTTGAGGCATTGTTTACTATTGTTTCTTTTTTAAATTGTTATGAAACATAGTATGGCTATATAACTGTTAGTTTGTAAGCATAGTATGGTTGTAATGTTAATCAGATACTATCGAAATCCAGTTCAGCATTAATTAGTTCATGTATACTATATTGAAAAAGGCATTTTACAAAAGAAAAGTAACTTATTTCTATACTGATAGTGATATGCTAGATCTTGGCATGAGTGAGTATTTTAACATGGAAATGATCCATATAAAATTTCAGCTATGTCTATTTTTTGTGTTATTGAGTAATGACCCTTTAAAACCTTAAGTTAGCCATTTTTTTCTTGAAAGAAAATCTATCCAGAGCCTACGGGCATCGTGTCCTTGTATCTTCATAATCTAATGGTCTGTTGTTAATTTGAGTTATGGCCCATTGTACTAGCCCATAAAAAACACAAATGGATAACATCATTTTGAATTGAAAATATGCCAACGTTAACCAAAGTTAACATTCCAAGTTTTTATTAGTACCAAAGCAAAATCATGGCATTGACCAGGCAGTAATTAAAGGGGCCAGTAACTTCTTGGTTTATTAACACCCACTTTCCCACACACTGACAAGACAAAGGATATAATTATATTCACTATACATTGTAATACAGTGGAACCTGTCTTAATTTGAATTTGTCTGAACCAGTTGAAACTTTGGGTAAGAAAGGTTTCAAGACTAGAAGTATTTTGGAAAATTTACAGTTTGGAACTGTTTTTATCTAAATTAAGTATGATAACAAGGTTGCAATATATTTTATTAATGTGTGCATAGATGCAGAGAAAAGTGACATACATGTTTAAAGATGGGAAAAAATAATTGGGACAGAGAAGGAAAGTCCTGGACTAGATTAGGACAGATTAGTAAGGCTACACTGTAGTAATAATTAAAAAAAAAAAAGAAGAAGAAATTGAAATTTAATTTGTTTCTTCTGTTTTAAAGGGTTAGTTCTGTGCTTAATAGAGATGTGAAACAGTTTGGTAAGAAGTACTTAGTGGATGGAAATGAGGATACTTGTTGGAATTCAGATCAGGTGTGTACCTTTACAATGTGTGATGTTAACTTTTATTGCTTATTAATAAGTTTATACAGAATTCATTTAGTTTGATTGTGTAGTGATCTACAAACTTGTTGACACACTGTTGAATCAGTCTGTTCATAGAACCAACCAGTAACGAGAAATGTGTGTAAAGTTTCTTGCTCGAGGAAACAATTCTTGCCCCTGACTTGGTTTGAACTGACACAGCTAGAAATCCTTTTATAATCAAAAAGTCTGGTGTGTTACACACATTACATTACTTGCATAGTTCTGATTCTAAGTCAAAATTGACAAATTTTGTTACACAATCATGTAAATTAAATTGTTAAAGTTTGACGAAATAGACTGTTGTCTTTACTTATTTTGCAGGGATCTCCTCAATGGATTACCATAGATTTTGAGGAAAGCATTGTTCCAGTTGAACTCTGTATACAGTTTCAAGGTGGATTCGCTGGAGCTGACTGCTGGGTAGAGGGTAAAATGGATGCAAGTTCCTCCTGGGAGAAAATAGACTACTTTTATCCTGAAGATAAAAATTCTTTACAAGTATCCTTGAATAATTTTGTAACATGGAAAAGAAAAAAGAGTTTTACTTTGTATTTTTTATTGTACATAAATTATATACATGTACCTATGATATTATATACCTTGATAAAAGGAACCTAGATGTGTCTAAGCTTTTGGTAAGATTACATTTTCTAGTACCATATTGAGGGTTGACTGCAAAACTGCAGTAACTTATATGATAAAAAGAAGGACTTACAACAGTTTTGTAGTAAAGCCTTGATTATTATTTAAGTTATTTGTTGTCCAGTGTAGTGTTATTCCTGTAAGCTTACATTTATAATCCTTAACTATATTCACAGACATTTATGATCAACAATGCAGATAAACCTATCGTGTCCATGAAAATTGTGTTTAGTAAAAGTACAGACTTTTTTGGAAGGATAACTATATATCAGCTTAAAGTGAATGGTGTACAGAGATGATTGTGGTATAATATTGTTACATGTATATACTTGACCACGTAATATGAAGGGGGCTCCTGGAATCACTGTCGTAACCGTTGATCAGTTGGTCCGCCTTTCTCCACCGTGTCCACTCTATAAATCAAATACCCTTTGTAACATTTTCTTCAAACTTGGCCTAAATGTTCATATCAACAGGGCAATATGCAAAATCTATGCTGCTGATGTACCTGCTATAGGTCAAGGTCATACTGGAAGTTCAAATTCAGAAAATTTTGTGCCCACCTTATAAACCTATACCACTAGAAAGATTTTGATCAAACTTTACTCATTATTTTTTACTCAACAAGGAGATCTGCAGAACCTATGCTATGACTTCATGTCCACTCTATAAAAATTTGACCCCTTTATGGATTTTTTTAAAACTTTGCTCAAATGTTCACCTCAACAAGGCAGTGTACATGTCCTATACCACCCCTGTGATGCCTCAAGGTCAAGTCAAATGTCAGACAATTTTGTGTTTAATATACTGTGTCATAGATATAGTGGGGGTATTTGTCACTCCTGTGGCAGCTCTAGTTACAGTTGTGTTCAGTTTTCAATGTGTTGTATTCATTTGTTGGATAAAAGTGGATTCATTTGTTGGATAAAAGTGACAGTCAAAATAGTTCAAACCTTACACAACTGAGTTTTGTACATGTATTATGCTTTGAATTTGGGACAGGGTTAATTGAAGGTGTTTTAGTAACAAGCTAAAATTTTGCATGTTGAAAGTTTAGAATGTGATGAGACAAAACATGAGTGCAGGCTGGCCTGACACTATAAAATATGGTTTTTAAAAAAGTAAAGGGATGTAACTCTTATTGTAATAGCAAATTACCTTGTATGGATTAGTTTTCTTGAATAGATTAATTTTGTTTTTATGTTATTTTCTCAGAAGATATTTTCTTTCTCCTGTTAAAATCAAGTTATATAAATTAGAAGATAGTATCAAATTACAATGTTATTTGTTTGTTTGTTATCATTTTTGCCTACTTAAAGCTGGGACATAATATCAAGTGATGATAATTTTGCATATTTCGATCACTTTTTGGTAATATATGTGGATTGTATATAAGTGCTGTTCGCAATTTGCAAATTACCTTCTTTGTTTACTTCACAATACTTTATATTTGAATACATTTTCAAAATGGTCAAAATTAGCATAAATCTGGAGGCATGCTGCTTTAAGTCGGATTCCCAAATATAAATAGACAAATTGAAAATGTTTGATTGAGTTTTCATGGATGGAAGTATTAAATGCATGTTGTCACCTGGCGGCCTTACACCAACTGTAGCAGAATTTAACATTTTAAATATGAAAAAAAGTGTAATTTAGTTTTTAATACCATTCGCAGATTGTGCATGAAACTTTCCTTATGCCACTTGATGGTACTGACGCAGATATTTTATAAGAAGATACATGATCTGCACATTAGGGCGCTCATGTTTCAAATAAATTAAAGAAGTTGTATATATTCTTAAATATATCATGGAAAATTGCACGAAAAGACTGTTGAACATGCTTTATTAAACTTGATTATTGATATTATATTGTTTTAATAAACAAGCTAGATTTGTATTGTTCCATATAATAGATTAAGCCAACTATCAAAATAATTAAATCTGCTGGGAGCAGCTTATCTGGTATTTGAGGTCATGACCCCCAGGAGAGCGACAGAAAGTAAACTTTCCAACTTAATTAGAGTTTGCTCTTTCCTATATGTATTCATTGGAAAGAAATTTTAATTGGCAAGACATCTTATAGGAATTCAGATCTCACCTTTGTATTCCATTTATACAGATGATAAGTATTGAAACATACAAACTATTACTTAAAAAAAATTTAGAAAATCTAGGCAGAATAAACTTTCCTGATAAATATATTGTTTTAATTGTTACTCTGTTTTTTCCTATACCAAATTCAACATATTTTTGGTGAATATGTCGGTGGTCAGTCCATATAAATTGCCATCCTACATAATTATACTTGATTACTCTAAGAAATAATTTGACAAATTGTTATATAATTATATAGTAGGCTTGTTTGATATCATAAAATGTTTTTCCTGTTTTGGCTTTAAAAATTATTTTATACCTAGCAGTGTTTTGTGTTATGACTGATAACCAATGTTTATACTGTATTTAAACATCTGTTGGTTATAGATTTCAGAAGTAATGAGAATTTGCTTAATTTCGTAGACACGAAATTCTGTGGTTTTGTCTCGAAATATTTTCGTGGGTACTTGATATTTTGTTGGATTTTAAATTTGTGGATTGAGCTATCCACCAAAACCACTAAAATTACTGCCCCACGAATAATAATGATTGTGCAGTAAGTACTTATCACCACTTAAGTATGGTGCTACAATATGTATTTTAAATTGCAGCATTTAAAAAAAATAATTGTCATGATATTGATGACAAAAAAGAAGCAATGTACAGGTCTACACATAGAGGATATTGTATGAGTGTAGGTTTAATACTAAATTTATTAAAACTTGTTGAATAAATATATTGCTTGCCTACTAAATTTATTGAACGAGTGATTAACTAAAATCATATTATGCCAGCCTCTGGCAAACAAAATATTGTTTTATACAAGTCCAATAAATTTAGTACTGAACATGCTGAATCTACATGGATATAATAATTCTTTTTTATCACATATTCAAAATAAGAATGGTCAGCAGTTAAAAAGAGTCAGTTTTAATTGTCGCGCCTATACTGTAGTGTAACGTTAACATTAGCATGCTTTAATGCGATGTTTGTATATAACACAAATGACATTGTGTTAAAGTGTTATTACACTAGTGTAATATTGTTGTTAATAAATTCCAGCAGCTTTATAGATGAAGAAACACCTCATGGGCCTCTGTGTGTATTATTGTACAAGCAGGCATTTGATTAGAACCACCAGCCTTCTGTAACCTAGCTTGATGTCACATCAAGTCATCTTTAACAATCATTGTTTTTAAAATATTTATGTAAGCTTGATGGGTTGGTGGTGTTGGTAGTTTTCACTCCAGATCACAGCAGTTAGTCACATTGATTTTACCAGAGCACAGTTCAGCCACCGCATTGTTTGTGGGCAGGCTGTCAAACAGTTTACCAGTACTAGATGCCTTCACTTTTGCAAGGAACTGATTACTTCAGTACATGCCAGAGCAGAGGTTACATGCAAATGACCTTAGAAAGGATTTCATGATCAATCACAAGGAAAGTGAACTGCGCCATCTGGGAAATAAGTTCTTGCAACTCACATTTATCACTTTCGAGTCAGCTTCCTATCCTGGAACCAGCCAGTACTGGTGTCATATAAAGAAACATGGTCGTGACTCGATTAGGGCTCGAACCCATGATTCCTGAGTTGAGAGGCAGTCACTTTAACCACTAGGGCACCGCTCCCCCTTAATCATTAGAATGCATTTCAAAATTCAAAGCAGGTTTTATCCATAAATCAAATGAGGTTAAACCTGTGTGTGTGCTTATATAACTTTATTACAACATCATTTAAATTTTAGAAAACAAATAGATTTAGTTACTTTCTCATGAAGGCATTTAATTGTTGAATTAGGTCTTAATTTAGCCCGAATTAGTTGGGGAATTGATTCTTATAATGAAATGAGTTTTTCTCTTTCTTTATTGGGTTTCATTATCTACTCATGAAATGAGGTATCCAGAGGAAGTTTAACTCAATAAACGCTATTGATTGTTATTTCAAAGAATTTGTTTTATGTCTTCAAACTTAAGGTAAGTTACTTTTTATTAAAAGTTCTATTGTTCAGGGGTGGATCCAGGATCCCCACTGGGGGGTGGGGGGAGTAGAATGGTGTTGTGGTTGAAAATAGTTGTTGGTGAATTGTCAGCTTTTAGCCATGTTCATGAGCAGCAAAGGCAATAGAAGGGTGTAGGTAAGGGAAGAGTCTGCCACCCATTTGAGGGGAAGTGGTAAGGAAAACTCCGGAAATGAAGGTGTATAAAGGTAGGTTTAATGACGTGGATATAGAAAATGAAGGTGTTAAATTGAGCATTTTGGGGAGTTTTTGTAGCATTGTATTATTTTTCTTATTAAACTGATAGCAAATTTCCCTACATATTTATGATGATAAAGAAATTAGCATAGCTTTTGATTTAATAATGTCAAAATACAATGGAATTCATCAATAGAGCTGATGCCGGTGAAAACAGCTTGTTATTAAAAGGGGGGTAAAATCTTTCTAGTAGAAAATGAGTCACGGATAATGCCTGTTCATGATCAGTCAATCAAAGGTTGTTGTAGAAAGTTATATCTAAATTGGTGGTATCAAATCCATAACTAACAAGAGCTGTCTGAGAAGCAGTGCCGTCTACTTTTCTCAGTGATGTGAAATGCATTTTTTTTTAAATAAAGAGATGATAATAATGAAGTAGAGGTCAAAATGTCTTATTACCTTTGACCTTTTGATACAAAAATGCGTGTGACAGGCAGAACTCATCAAGATGCATCAAAAACTAAATCCATAAATTAGCAAAGATCAGTATGAGCTTGTCACTTTTGACCTTTTCGTCTGGAAATTCAGATGTGGCCGGTAGAATTCATCAAGGTGCATCAGCTAAGGATTTAAGGTCAATTCAATTTGCTTGAATGGCCTGTGACAGGTTCAAGTGACCTGGACCTTTTGACCTGAAAATGAGTATTACTGACAGAACTATATTAAAAAAGTATCAGTGAAATAGCTTTATAAGTATTGAAGTATTAACACAAAATTAACCAAAAAGGTTAACCTACATTGATCAATGAGTGGTTACTTCCAATAGCTCCACTTTTTTCTTTCCGAAAGAGGAACTAAAAATGACCTCATACCCCAACACCTTCCTTTCATATACCATGCACTGTCCCATATCTTTTCATTAGACAATGCATATAAAATGTGGTACAACATGTGTGTAAGTACAAACGCAAACTGAACTGTTTTGATGCAAACTGAACTGTTTTGACTCAAACTGAACTGTTTTGACCTACGGTAGGTCACACAAAACACGGGTGTGATAGTATCAGTGAGACCGGTAAAGACCTTACTTGAAGAGCATCCAGTGTCTAGACAGCATGTTTTAATTGTCAGCTTTTTTGAACTAATATTTCAATACATAGGGTGTCTCGGTGTGTCCTAGCCTTAAGTTGTGCTACACGTTGCTTTGGTGTTTATTTAGCTCGTTAATTAATTGTCATTGGTTAGCGTTCCATTTGAGTTTCCAATACTGTTTGTTTTTTGACAAATGGCATGATGTGATAAGGTGGGTTGGATGTTGCTGAACAATGTACAGAATTATGTGCTTTAATATAAGTACAAAAGGTAAACAGACGTAATTCCAGAAACTGCCAGACAACAACAGCAGCTGACTTTTTTTTTCCATAACCTTAAAATAGAATTGCCATAAATACCAATATATCTTCAGTTCACAGTACTTAAAGTACAAACATTTTTATTGTGTTCAAGGACTTTTAAAATTGTCATTGGCAAAAAAATGAATCAATTTTAAGAATTTATTTTAGTTTGATTGTATGGAAAGCTATAAGCTTGCAGACATACTCTTGAATCCGTTCCTGGAATCAACCAGTATTGTGTAAAGTCATTTCTTACTCTAGGAAATAATGGCTTGTCCCTGATGGGGTTTGAACCCACACATCCAGAGATCCTTAGATTACTAACCACGGTGTTAATCACTCAGCCATGCTGCCACAAAAGTTAAAGAGATATTAGGTAAGTTATATATTAAGAAAATGATGATTATTATTTTATAATGAAAAGTAAATACTTTGATTTTATTTTGTTTTTTTAGAGATATTTCATGTTATTTATAATATTTAATAATGCTTGATATTTTTACCTTGACTTCCCCTAGTAAATGGACAAATGCCCCTCATGATGAGAAAATGTGCAGCTTGACTAGGATTCGAACCCTGGACCCTTGAAATACCATTCCAAGGCTCTACTGACGGAGTTATCTGGCAGTTACACATCTTTTCCCACAAAAAAAACCAGTTCTGAACTG